TCAAAACTAATGTTAAGGTGGGAGGGTCCCTTTAAGTGACTACAATTATCGCATGTTTGTTACGAGTCGTCATTCGGAATAGTTCGGCTGTGAGGGCGCCAAGAGCGTTTTCAAGGTACGCGTTCCTTGTACTACATGCGCCTTTGAAGCTGCATTTCTTACTCATTATGCTACCGTTTGTCTGGCCAATTCGGTCAAGTAATCTTCAGCATGTCTTTGCATAAGTGTGCTGCCTATTTGAAATTTATACGGCACGTTGAAAAGTTATGGGCCTGCAAATGAAAGTATGGCTGGCTGGGGTAATGCCGAAAACGTGCAATTACGCGTGCGTTAAAGCACGCTACGTGGACTTAACTGCTGTAGAATAGCAACGCGAATTTTTAGTCACACAAATTACACTTTCAACCGACACAACGGCCTGTTACCTATAAGGAATTATCTACCTGGCATTTTCTTATCATATCACACAATTATGACTTCCAGTGTGCACCAAGCGTCCTCAAGCTCTTAACCCTATTAGTGGCAGGGGGGGTTGTTTTTATCCACCCCTCAGGTTTTTCGGGAATATCTCCGAAACCGCTGAAGCTACGATGCTGAAATTTTCTGACTTTTCCTAAAACTAAATTGGGCACATTCCCTGAAAATTTCAAGTTCATAACTTTACCAGGGGCGGCTCCAGAGCACTGGGAATTGGGGGTCCTATTCGTGAAGCGAGTCATTTGGGCGAAGATCACGATGCTGCACCAGTTTTACGAACAGTGAATGAAAGGTATCATGTGATGACATATACAAAGTTATTGTGCATCCTCTTTTGACACGTTTTTGCTATAATAGGCGGATCCAGGCGTCCAAAAAGGGGGGCTATTTTTTACCTCCCAACATAGGTGCCCTGACACCGCCTATGCATGACCAATACAATTTTAGTCGTTCTCTCATAAGAAAATTGTAACATAACAAGACCATTGCCACCCTTTTTAGAAACAGTACCAACAAAAACCTTATTTACTATACTTTTTGTGTACCCCCAATCTCAATGATCTGTATCCGCCTATGATTTTTGAAAATGCATATTTTTAGGATCCATGTGAATTCCTGGTTCATTCTCTATCGCTCGGCAAAAGTTGCGTTAAGATTGGTTCAGAAACCTGGCCGTGATAAACAGTCTAAAATGTATCTGCAATTTGCCCATTTTTACCCCCCTCTACCCCCCTATTGACATTTTTTAATTTTATTTTTTTTAGAAATGTAGATCTCGTTGAGCCAAATCGAATGCCGTTTGAATTTTGAAAATCGGCCGGTTAGATCTCGAGATATCAAGGGGGGGTCGTAAACAGCCCCCCCCCCCTGCCACTAATATGGGGTAGCCAGGAGCCTGCCACTAATAGGGTTAAAACGCGTGTCAGCTTTGATAAATTCTGGATAAAGTTTGAGATAAAGTGGCAAAACATCAATGTCGGCATTCCCCGTAGATCATTTCTCCCAATTTCGGCTTTCCCCGCAGTCCGGGGCAGCGCCGAAAAAGTCACTTCTTTAATATTTTTAGTTTGTGCGCTTAACGGTATGCGAATTCATCAAATGCGCCTGGTATGTTTGAAAGGCAAAAGACTGGCCTCTCGAATGACGCCAACAAGAATAGCTCATGTTGTCTACCTTGCGTGCTACGGGCGTCAGAAAAAAGTATTCGGCGTTCCCCCAACTTCCCCTACATATTTACATTCATGGCAAAATATACATTCGATTTGATTCAGAAACTAGTTGCTAGTAAGCTTGCATTTTTGTAGGTACAACAGTCAACAACGACCATACATTGAATCATAAAAAACCTTCTCATGGCATTCATCACATATCTTTTTACCGAACAAGTACCTAGCTACCATGCAATGATTCTAAAATTTTCCGCAATCCATCTATATCTCAACTGACACAATGAATTTGAAATACCCTAACAAAACCTATAACTGTACATAAAAAGAATGCAATACTACAAGAACTATGAATTTCTGAAGTTATTCTCACATGCTGGAACGTTGAAACTTTACTTTTGTCGTCCATTTCCACGTTTGATAGAGCCATCATATCGAACTGCTTTCGTTCTTCAGTCACAAGCTTTCGCACAAATCTTGAATTTTTACACATCATCTTGAACCATGCTCCAGTCTTTCCAACAAGGTACTATGTAACATCAAAGCAATTTTGATTTGTTACAACAGCTTCAGATCATGATAGGCTTGAGGTTTGTTACACCATTTGCCAGACAAATCTCTACAAAATGTGTATCAATTCCCAAACTAAGTAATTGATCATATCAGTATTTGCAGTTTCCACACAATGTTTCATAATACTATTCTATGTTTATACAAAGAAACTCAAATAATCCACAAATTGTTATTGAAACACTCCCGCTTCAAGAATTCACAGCAATAAAAGTACAAGTTCAGAAGCAAACAATCATTGCGCCAGATTTCGTATGAAACGCGCCATCGTCCTGAAGTTTCTACCACAGACGGTAGTTCAACCGCAGCCGTAGTGCGAAAACCCCTGCCCACCTTACCCCACGGCGGAGCTCGGTTGCAATTTGTAAATACGCGGCCGGGAGACGGAGTCGGGTGCCCGCCGGCGAGCCGTCGGCAAGGGCGCGGGGCACATTAGTCGAGTTGAATGTTCACTGTTCAGTCTTGAGTGCGAGTGATGTATGTGTGAATCGATATGTGAGCAGCAAAATCCAACAAGAAAACAAAATCCGTGAAAGAAAGGCAACGCTGGCAAACATCACCACCATAGTCTTCCCTCCTACGCCGAACGGGTTCCACACCAACTGGCATCAGCGAGAGTAAAACTAGGATCCTAACAGACCCGCCCACCGCCCCACCGTCACCCCATTCCTTCCCAAGTCTCCTTCCCCTCCGCTCGGGGCGTCTTTCAGCTACGCAAGAAGGAATCGGCAGACTAAGACACCTGGGCGAGCGAGGAGGGGAAGTTGAGACCGTGTTTCCGCCAAAAGAGAAAACAACCAAGTTAGGTGGTAGGTAACTACACCTGCGCTATCTACATCAGCTGCCCCGCATGACACTAATGGGGAGGTCGCAAAATTGACCTGACTTTAGGTCATCGATATCAAAATTCTGAGATATACATTTTGTACATGCTATTGCTCTTAGCAATCGCTGAAAGTTTCAAAGTGATCGGTCACTCGGTGTAGCTATGACAGACATTGAAACTTTTTATGAGGTGAGGTCACTTCAAGTGACCTGGTGACCTGACCTTGAATGACCTTGGTCTGAAATTTTCACAACATGTGTAGAATTGATGTAGGTATGATAAGGTGTACCAAAAACGGCGGCGGAGATATTCGCGAAAAACCACAAGGGGGGTGTTCAAACACCCCCCCAGCAGGGCGCGGGTTAACTTATTATGCAACAGGGCGAGTCTGGTCGGCGGCAGTTCCTTGAAACGAGATGGACATTTTGCGCAGCACATCGCTGCCTTATTCGACTATCATAATATGAGAAGCTGCAGAATTTCTCGTACGTTTTATCCCTATTCCTGGCGGGCTCCGCCGGGACAAGAAACTGGCGGGGGGGGCCGATTCGGCCCCCCCCCCTGAGATCTCGAGAACGAAGCAAGATAGCGACAAGCGGTAAACGGCATCGGATACGCACGGCCAAGATCTACAATTTTTACAAAGGTCATTTTCAGGTCAGGTCAAAGATGACGTCACAGGGGTCGAAAAAGTCAAAATGGCGGCGCTAGATATGGAGAGAGTTTTTCTCGAATACCTTTCGAATTAGTCAAGATAGGAACAAACTAAGGGCATCATCGTGATCCTCTCGTCAATCCGCATCGATTGATATATATGTTGACCTCGAAAGGTCAAGGTCAAAGGTTGACCTCAGGTCACGTGACCTCGAGGTCATCATGTATATCATTCGATGCGTCTTGACGAGCTGAACACAATGAGACCATCCACGCGTCTGTATCTTGTTCCTGTACGGAGTTATTGGCCAAAAACCTTTGGTGACCTTTGATGACGTCACATGACCTCACAGCTGCCCAACAGCAAAACAGACCTCAAGGTAGTGAAGGTTGATCGTATATGAAGTCATGTATGGTATATGGGGCCATTCCGACCCGTTTTAGTGGTAAAAACAGGGAGTTGATTTTTCCCCCATTGACTTATAATGGGGAGGTCGCGAAATTGACCTGACCTTAGGTCACCGATATCAAAATTCCGAGATATACAAATTGCACATACTGGTACCCTAACTAAACCCTGAAGAGAAGAAATTGATCGGTCAAAAACTCTAGCTCTGGCGTGATTGCAAACTTTTCTGAGTTAGGGTCACCAAACCGCCTCTGGTGACCTGACCTGAGGTCAGATCAACTCAAAATTTTCAGACATGTTGCGTAGAAGCCTTTTAGGAAAAGTCAGAAAATTTGAGCTTCCTAGCTCAACGCGTTTGGGAGAAATAACCAAAAAACCTCAGGGGGGGGGGGCTCCTGAGGCCCCCCCCGCCAGGAATAGGGTTATACAAGCACCGGTTAGAAAAGTTATCAGGTGCAAGCGCTGGAAAATCGGCTGAGTTGGATATAGTAATAACGGTCCTTGTTTTTAGTAGCACATATTATACCAAAAGAAGTATTAGGTATCCGATATGTCTCGTCAATGCCGCAGATCCATGTTTTATCCCAGGAAATTATGGGATGCGACTTTTTATGTGAAGATAATCTGACTCTAATGCTACCTTGATAAGCATTTATTCCCGGCTTCTAATAACAAGGTGGCATTGAAGTCGCTTCTTTGAATGTTCACGTGCGATCAATACCTAGGTAAATGCCAGCCAAACACTATAATCTGTACGATTGACTATGAAAAAATACTACTGATAAGACTGGGCGAAGCGTAATGACTGGCCTGTTTTGTAGTGATAATTATCGGCGCTGTGGTCACGTCTGTATAGCTGTGTTTCTGGAGTCACACCATATGACCCGTCCGTTTTCAGGGGGAACCAGACGAGGTGCGGTGGCGCCATCTCTCTGTCCTGGTGGAATTCGCTATGCAGCTTCGGGCCACTCTCAACAACATCAACGCAGAAAGCTTCAATCATTTCATCCTGCAAATGGGTAAGGCAACTTCTTTTGCCTAGGTGTAAGCATCTAGAGTGTAGCGTTTAATGTAATATAGTCCATTTTTCAACAGCTCCATGGCATTCCATTCCATTCCATTCCAACTGTTTATTGGTAATACAACTTAAACGCATAATATATAGTAAAATAAGAGGAGGCACAAAAGCCAAAGGGCTTAATCTCGGTGCCAACTCTCGTGATGCAGTGCACCGGAAATATGCATAATACTAGCGCAGACACACATACATGCATACTTGCATACATACACATACATACAAACATGCTTACATACATACGTACATTCATACATACATACATACATACGTACACGCCTGAACACATTCATCATCTCTCATACTTCGAACATACGCTCAGTCAGAAGTTCGCCCGACCGCCGCCCCGTCGCCGGCCACCGCCCGCAGCCACCGCCCCCGCACGCCCCGCCAGGAGGCCGCGCCCGGCCAGGTCCCTGGATTAAGTTAGAAAACGCATGAGAATCTGTGAGTATCTTGTATAAATGCAACAAAATTTTGCACATTGCTGTTTGAAATTCCTTTTTTGTGGCTAAAAGGAACGCAGGGACCAAGGCGGTAGCCGGTAAATATACTTTCAAAACAGCAGCAAAGCTGGTAGATGCTAAAAAGCCTTATCCCTATTTCACTTCACCCAACATTTCTGAGAATTGGATGCATATTTCAACGCGCTAAATGGCTTATTTCTCACGCTTTTATACGGTCTTCTACCACCGAACGGTTCCAAACCATAAGCATCGTGGGAACGACTATTGAGCGCCTTCATTCAGTAATATGAGGCCGGCTGGCCGGAAATGGTTGATGGCGGGCCCCCCGGCAGGCTCGCGGCTCGTTCGGGGAACTGGCGGCTGGCTATGAGCGGTGCACTGGGGCGCGGCGCCGGCGGCGTCATTTCAGTGAAACGTGACTGACGGGGGCTATTGGTCCCCTGGCACTGAGACGGCTGGCTGCTCCACACACCGGCAGTCAATCAGGCTCATAACTACATCGCATTAGACGTTTAATCAGCCCTAATGTCGAATACCTACCGATAAATTAATAACCACCGTAACTGTGGACGGTACCTATATCAGCCCATGCCATCGGTTCCGCCGTCCAAAGCTGTCCCCGGCGATCCTTCGGTTCCATCTTACGCCGTCCTTCATTGAAGGCTATGCATATTATTAAGCGATATGATTGATCCAACGATCATATTAGCTAATGCATCAAAGGAAAAAACGTAGTCTGGCCTGCATATTTCGGCTTACCTATGTTCAATACACTTAGAGTATAGTTGTCCGTATTTACTTTCTTTTATGTTATTTATGCACATAGCACTCAATATAGTAGCAGTATTTGTATTTTTTAGCACCGCAGACTGTGCGTCGGTCTCATCCGGCCCCGTCGTAGATGATCCGTTATTCCTTTCACACTCCGTCTTAGTCACTTAGTCGCAATGGATGTCCGCGAACCCTTCGCCTTCACTACATATAAGCTCGTGGCGTCACATGTGAAGGGTCTGCCGTCGTCGGAAACACCCCATCGCGGGTCAGATAAAGATCCGGACAACAGTCGGAGCGCCGTAAAGACGGACCCCCGGGCAGAAACGACCGGGGCGGCGACCCACACACAACGCTGAGCGCAACTAATGAGACGGCACTGAGAGAGTTGTTTGCGGGGTGGAACAGTGTGTTTGCTGGGTGAAGCAGTATGTTTGCTGGGTGGAGCAGTGTGTTTGCTGGGTGGAGCAGTATGTCGCTACAAAGGGCCGTCGGCACTCTCCAGGGTGTCGCTACTCGCTCCACAGTTGTTTTGTCTTGGATACAAGACGGGGATTTATATTTTGTAGTGTACGGTGGAGAGAAACTTGTTTTCTACCCCCTACTTAAAAAAGATCACGGTCGTTGCGATTTGTTAGCGGTACCTCAGAGTTCAATCTCAATAAGTTACCATGCTATTGGCTTGAAAATGACAGCGTCCGTTGTGATTATGAAAAATGTCCTGCTACAATTGTCGAACCGGAACGCCCATACTACCTCCTGAACGTTTCTGCCAACTGTTCGTGCCGCTGACGATCAAGCATATGTATCTGTTTTTGACAGTCAGTGGACTTCTAACCGTGACCACCCGGCTGACCGTTTCTAACCCTTGTTCTTTCGCTGACTCTCGCTGACCGCTTCTGATAACTTTTCCACCGTCTATTCCTGCCGATTGCCACTGTCTCTGACTGCGGTTTTCCACCTACTTCCCTAACCACAGTTTCACCTGTGACAGGCATCAACCACGGCCCGGTGACAGCCGGGGTGATCGGCGCCAGGAAGCCGCACTACGACATCTGGGGCAACACGGTCAATGTGGCCAGCCGGATGGAGAGCACCGGACAGGCCGGCCAGATTCAGGTGCGGTGCGGGCGGGGAGGTCGGGTTTGAGAATCGGGAAAACGACGGTAAGCTTAGGTCAGGGCTAGGTTGAGAGACCAGTAAGGCTAATTTGGTTCAGATGGGAACAGGATAGACTAAGCTCACATGCAATGCTGAGTGGGCCAACGCGGTCAAATTCACTGACAAATTTGCCGTTCAAATGAAATATCAATGCAAGTCAGCACTGAGAAAACAGTGTCCCGATTTTCGGGATCAGAGACCAGTTTTCGGGCTAATGTACCATATTCAAAACAGACAGCACATTTGGAGAATACTTTCTGAGCTAGCGCCACATGGGCTCATACGATCCCTTAAATCGGTATCATTGATCGCAGAAACAGAGCTCAGTCAGTACCCATTATCGGTGTCAAGCTCTAAAACTAGTCTCACTATGATACCAGTTTTCAGCCTGATCCCCATTTTCGAGCTCACCTGATTCCAGTTTGAGGGCTCAAATTGTGTGGTGAAGCCAATATTAGGGCTCACGTCATCGCTTTTCGGGGCTTTGGTAAAAGCTGGATTGCGTCAGCTGGCTGGCCAGCTGGCGACGCACGAAAGGTATTTAATTTTAGATATACCTAAGCGCGGTAGTAGGATGGACGTAAATATTTCAAATGGCTTTAAATGAAAAATTGATTGGTAAATATTCATTCTTTTATATCTAGCATTGATATGTAAGAAGCTCTGCTAGCGCCACCATACGGCGCCAGCTGGCAAAAAATCCAGTTAATACCAGAGCCCGCTTTTCGTCCGATGCAGCCCCTCCTCCCCCTTCCCCCGTGTCCAGCAGCTGCGAATAAGACGAAGCCGCGGACAAACTTTTTTTTTTTGCTCGGCCAGCCTAGCGCCAGTCTCGAGCGGTGGGACAGTTAACCGGCAATTTTGGCCGGGATGCAAAAGTTACGTTAAACCGGTTTATGTTAACCCGGGAGCAAATAACAACGTGGGAGCCTATCTAAGGTGTGGCAAAGCTAACGGATTACTTACTTGTTGCCGAGGTGCCCAAAGAAGGTACTGGAACCGAAAACACAACATTGGTTCATGTATTTATTAACATTCATACACACAGTCATACTTGTGCAAGGTGTCAGTGTTCGGTTGTGGGGTGTAATAGCCAGGGAAAAAGTTCTATGAACTGAAAAACCCGGCGCCTATTACTTCGCAACATGGTTGTGTATTCAACATGAACTGCAAGGAGTGCAGACGACATTGCCTGTGCTAACTTAACGTCTCACGGGCAGCGCCGCGCTCTGACACCTTGGTCCCAGAAGCGGCGGCGTTTCTGACCGCAAATCGCCGGAGAGCCGGTCGACGCCGTTGAGGGGACTGAGCAGGCCGCTGCCAGCTCCACCTTCACGTCCGCGCGGCGCAGCTCGGTGTGCGGCGGCGGCTCATCGCGCGGGCCGCACCCGTCCGTCCGCTGCACGAGCCGCTTTTCGATCCGACAGCGCAACACCGGCACGCCATTGTGCTGGCTGAGCGGCGGCAGCGGCACGTAGGCAACAAAACAGTAGAAATCGATGGGCCTGGATCGGCGTTGCCAGCAACGCCGGCAGCGGCGCGGCGGGAGGCGCCAGTGCCGCCGTCGGGGACGTGTGCCCTTCGCTGCGCTCATTCGAGTTGGCCGGCCGGCCGCGCGGCGTAGTCCTTTTGACACGGTGCGAGAAGAGCCGGATGAAGGTGGACTTTTTATTGGCGTTGCTGGTGCTCACGCCGCCGGCGTCCAGTTTGGGCGGCAAGTCCGAGTACCAGGAGTCGGACAAGTCCCGCGCGAACGCCGCCAGCCGGTCGTCGTCACTGCTGGCGGCGGCCCGCCGACGGCGCTGCCTCAGAATCGGACGAGTCGGTGGTACTGAGCACCTCGCGGGACGGGTAGCTGGGAGTGGGCCGGCCGCGGCCCCTGCCAGGCCGCGCCACCTTCACCGGCGCAGCCGCCTTCAAACTGCCCTTGCTGGGCGGCGGGTTGGTCGGCGGAGGCGGCAGCGGTGCCTCGACGTCAGTCCGAGTCGCTGTTACTGGGCGGCCGCCGCGGAGACGGCTTCTGTTTGACCCGCAGCCGGCCTGGGCCGGCTCGGCGCCCTCGGCCGGCGGCGCGCGCCGTTTCGAGCGTTTCACCTTTTCACTGTTACTCTCGCCTGGTCCTCAGCGTCGAGCGGCTCGGCGCTGTTCGGTTTCATGTGGCCCATGCTGCTGGGAAACTCGGGTGGGGACAGCTTTCTGACTGGAGTGCCGTCGAAGATGGAGGAGACGGGGGTGCTCGCAGAGTCCTTGCCCAATGCCCATGATAGAGCCGAGGCTCCACTGGACGCCCAGCTTAATCGGGCTATCACCGCCCTCCTTCTATGGTGGATTCTTCGGCCCCCTACAGCCACTAGGGCCATCATATACTCCCAGATGGCGGCACCTAGGGGATGAGGGGGGGGGGTGTGGGCCACTTGTCCACCTCGTGGCGTCGCCAGCGACGCCTGCGAGTCGGAGCAAATGATTATGGGGTCTTCCTCGAAGGACGGGTGCTTCAGGAGATGTTGCTTTGCCGTTTTGGGCGCCACCATCTCAGATCGGTAAATGGAGCAAATCCTCCCCGCCGCCTCCCGCAGTACCAATGTTGTACTGTCTGGGTGCTCGGTGAGGACCCCAGCGCCGCCTTCCTATTACTCCCCCGGTCGCAGACCCGTCGACCCAGGCCCACGTCGCACGCTGGGGGAGCGCTCCCAGTCACGCCTCCGCAGCACTCCTCCTCGCTGTCGCGGACGCCCCGATCGGCAGCAGGTCCAGGTGGACCGTGACGCCGTCTGTTGGCGTCTACGGGGGCAGTCTCGTGGATAAGCGCGCCTCGGCGGGCAGCGCCACTCCAGTGGTCCCACACCGCTCCCCCGCGCTCTCTCCAGCCGGTCACTGACTTCAGTCACGGTTGGGGGGGGGCTTCCGCCACGACGCGGCGGGTCCTCCGACGGGAGGGAGAGCGCCTTCGCCAGTAGGCGCGATGCCAGCGCATCCCTCCTCATCTCTCCATCGGCACGACGCCCGCCTCGGCCCTCACGGCGAGTCTTGGAGCATGGAAATCGGGCAGCCAGTGATGACTCATGCCACCATCAGCATCTCCGCCTCCAGGACGCCAAGATGTGTGGCCGCAGCCGCAGGCAGCCACGCCGACCCCGCTGCCCGCATGCCCAAGTAGTCTCGAATCGCTGACACCTCTCCTGAAACAAGAGTGGTGTCGTAAACTTAAACCCCTTGCTGGAGCCCGCCAGCCGCGACAACACCGCCACACCAATTTTTGTGACCCCGGAACTTCCGTCCCGAGCCTTATTTCACGGCACGATGCTACAGTGCGCTACACGTATTGTGGTATTCAGCTTCCATGGAAACATCAACTAATTTGGACGCTCAAACATGGGAGTCAGGAGTGGTTAAGGCCCAGAGCGTTCTGTCTGGTTTATAAAACCTTGGCCAGCAGATGTAAACGTGCTTTTTGTATAAGTGGCTTAATTTTGACGCAAAAGGGCACTAACCTTCGGCGCAAATAATGCAGAAATTTCAGCGCAAATTGCAAAGTAGCTTGCGCCGAACTTCGGCGCATGACGGCTTCACGGGCGTCCGGCGTACCATATGGATGTTTTCCAGTTTGGGCTGCAGGTTTTAGCTCTAGGTTTTAGACTGTAGGTTTTGGGTTGGGTTGGGCTGGGCTGGGCTGGGCTGGGCTGGGCTGGGCTGGGCTGGGTTGGGCTGGGCTGGGCTGGTTGGGGTGGTTGGGTTGGGTTGGATTAGGTTAGGTAAGTTTAGGTTAGTTTAGTTTAGGATAGATATGAATACCTATTTTTTGTAAGTTGAATTATTTTTTCATTTTGTAGCATCATATGCCTTCCATCTTTGAACTGCCATATTCAAGCACCAGAATAAGTATGGACTTGAACCTTTTCCAGTCTGGATGCCTGTATGGAAGTTGTGCAAAATCATGCAGTTGAAGGTATTGTAACCACAAATAAGAGCTCATGACTCAAGTCTCAACTTGTCCATAATTGGTTATCTTGATGTATACTTGTAGACCCTTCCTCTTACTTGGCACACAGGCATGGTGTCACAGTGTTCTAAAATTGGATTTCAATTGGGTGTCCCAATAAAAAAAAAAATCTGAAGACAAAATGAGATAGATTTAGTCTTTCCGCAAAACTGCATAATGCCATTTTTACCTCAGATTTTGTCAGAACCTTCACAGGATCTGAAATGAAATGATGTAGAGTAGATGCATCAACTGTCAAGTCATGCGTAACCTGGCAGCTGGCTGTTGAATCAAACTTTTGACATATTTTTTTAGCAAAGATGAAATAAAGCCACTTGTCATATTTTTAGGATGAAAACATTTTCCCCATCATGTGTGGTTATTCACCTAAAATTCTGAAACATGGAACACTGTCATACCAGCATTCCATCATGTCAACCAGCATTCCGCAGCATGTTAGCAGAAGCAGCAGCATGTTATAAGTATATGAAAGATCCAAATAGGTTGTAGGTTGGTAGGTATTGGTACTAAGTTTAACTTAATAGGTTAGTAGGCAAGGTTAGGATTAATTTTAGTTGAGCATCAAGATAACCATTACGAACAAGTAACAAAATCCTTACCTACCCTTGAAAGCATTGCTTCAATCACATCATCACGAAGAACCAGACAAAATTTTTGCACATTCTTACACTATTTGACATCCTGAATCCAGATATGATGCTTTCATGTGGCGCAAATACAAGAAAAACGAATAATCAAACCCGTGCGTATTCGTATCAATGGCGCCACAATTGTAGATCAGACCTTTTCTGAACAAATGCCACCACAATTTTAATTGATAAGGGATTAAAATGGCATGAGCATCAACATTTTGATTTTTTCTAAAAGATAGCGATAACTGATAACTAATAACTTACCATTCATTTTGAAATCACGGCGGTAGGTACACCAACACATGGCACTGAAAACAGCAAAAGACGGAATGGCGGAATGTCGTATGGAGCCCTAAAACGCAGCTCGAATTGAGCCCGAAAAGGAAGACGAACTGATGCCGCTTTCGGGGCTAATGTACTTTGAGCCCGAAAAGGGCGCCTAACTGATCCCGATTTTAAAATCATACAGATTTGAGCCCTGTTTTGGCACTCATATGAGCCCTTATTCAAAAATGTTCTCAAAGTGTTTTCTGAGTGAGGCAGTTGGAAATATTGGAAGTAAATGACAATTGTTACGTTTTTAGGCAGCTTTGGCAGGAGACAGAAGCGAAGCCTCTCTGTGAGACAGAGGAAGAAAGTCGTGAGGTTGTAGGTTGATTGAAGAGCTCTTGCATGTAACAGGATATCTGTCAGTGCTCTTTGGCAAGTGGCAGGTCGGCTTTCTTTGCACGAGTCCGATGACGGTCTACTCGACGAGTTTAGTTACGTGCTCGCTTGAGCTGATGGTCGATAACGAATTGCACTTTTTGCGTATTATCCTCAGGTGACTGGGGAGACCAAGGCCATCCTTGAACTGTTCGGCTACACATTCGAGCAGCGGGGGATCATCCTGATCAAGGGTAAAGGTCAGCTGCTGACCTACTTCCTGACCGGCTGCAGCAGCCAATCAGGAGCCGGCGCGGACAAAGCGGCAGACGGCAGCAACCAATCAGAAGCTGATGCGTCAGCGGCCGTGGACTAGTGAACTGACTGAGTGCAGTTGGTGCTCTCCCCATATCTTTCCGACATTCTCTGTGTGGGAAGGGGAGAAAGGACGGGCCGTGAACCCATCCTCCATGTGATCTCTCTGTGTGTTAATGTGTGAATTGTTAGATCGTGAGGTGCCGACTAACCTCGATGGCTGGTCGAGGAAAATGTTGTTCGCCTATCTGGTGAGTACCTCGTAGCGCAAAGTCCAGGCCCGGTGCCGCGGCCAGCGGCGGCTCTTATCACGTCCATGTGCTGGCGCAGGGGCGCGTGCGTCCTGTGTTGCACTCCGTTGTCGATAGGTGTCGCGCTGATCGTTATAGGTGGCGCTACTGGTGATTCGGAACGGTCCTCATTCAAAATCCGACAATGATGTCCGGATGGCGTTGCAACTGCTGGCAAGTTATGGTGGCATAACAACAACGACGGTGCTTATCTATAGCGGAAGTTGGCACAGATTCAGCACAAGCTCAGCACAGCACAGCTTCGCGAGACCATATGTAAGGAAAATCTCAACCTGTTGTCCATAAAAACGTGAAAAGAAACATAGAGACGGCTGTGTGTGGTTTAGCGAGAGCCTTCATTTACAATCAATTTTGCCTCTCTTTTGTTTTTATGTAGGAAAGGGCATTTTAAGTCTTGATTTCCATATAGGTGTAGCGTGAATCTGTGGCGTGTTGAACCTTTGCTAAATTTGTGCTGACTTCCAATACAAGGTGTTTATTGGAAATGTTGGTTAATGCGTCTGCGTCATGAGATTGGTTACGTTTTCCGCGTGATATCAAAACGTTACAGTCATGGTGATTTTGTGACGTCACCAGTTTGTGTGACGTCAACTGACGTCAGGACGGCGTTTCCATTCCAGACGCCATTGTCTGTCCACATATGAATTGTTCGTTAATCATGGAGTCGGTCCCATGAAAAGTTACCGTAATGTTTGTGTATGTTTGTGTAGGTATGCATGTACATTGTACACACCTACACCAGACGTAGCGTCCCTTTGGGCTGCTTGTCGCGACAATACACTGAATGTGTTTCTGTTGAGCGTCGTGTTGACAATTTTACACCGGCGTCACTCTTTGAAATTTATGGGTAGGGCTCTAACGGTTAATTTCGGTATACCAAAGCCATTCTAACCATGCACCGCCGCCGCCATAGAGTTAATGTTAAAATTATGAAATTATTGGTAGGGCTCGGGCCTTACCAAGCCTATACAAAACGACACCCATGCAAATTTAGGTACCCACTTGCTCCCTAACATAGGCTGGGCAATCCACAGATTGACACAAGGGGCATGAGATCCCGCACTCGTAAGTAGCTTGAAGGGCTCTGGGCTCTCCAGTGATCGGGAAGGCGCCGAAGGTCAGGACGCAGTCAGCCAGAAGGGTGACTTGGAGTACCTAGAAAGGACAGGGCTGGATTGTCCTAGACACGTTACTTCAATTATGTGAAAATGTTCAATAACTCCGCGTATTACCTAAGCTACCTAGCCATGACCCTTCTTTTTGGCTCTGACTTCTGAGGTCATCTCAGGTCATCAACTTCTCCAGCAGTTTTTGGCAATGACTAGATAGAGATACGTTAGCGCGATGAAAACACCTTGAATGTGTTCAGCTCAACGGTACTGGACATTGACCTGAGGTCAAAGTATTAAACCTCGCCCGTAAAGGGGGGGGGAGAGTCGAACGGACCTCCCTCGGTTTTTCGCGAATAGCTCGCGTAAAAAGCGGCCGATCGCGACGAAACTTTCAGTACCCTCGCGTTAATCAATTTTACACCTACCCTGAAAATTTCATGACCCTGACCCTAATGACGTTTGACCTGTGACCTACTTTACGAGACCATGTCTGGCCGGAATCGCGATTCGGCGTATGTCGGCTCGTATTAGCCGCGCGTTTGCAGTCTTTTCGTGGTTTTAAGCGTTCAAACATGGGATATGATGCTGCTCCCATGCATTAGAGTGGGTGTCAAGGTCACCAGGTCAGGTCAGGTCATTGACCTTTGATGACCTCGGTTCACTTTTTCGAGTTTTACATGTTTCTAGGCCAGTTTTTGGAGCTGAAGTCGAATTTAGCAACCATATGAACATTTACGAAGCTGTTTTGGTACCTTCGTAACATGTTACGAAGCTGTCAGAGGCGGTTGCCACCTACTACGAATACCCTTAGGTACTAGTTGGCCTGACCTGACCTGACCCGACCTGGCCAAAATGCATGAAGACATCATATGTGATCAAAACTAACATGATATTCGTGATCAGCACCCCGAAAAAACCCTAAGCAGCCACGCTTTACGACTTTCTAACAAGTCCCTATTTTCCCGACTTTTGGGTCATTGACCTGACCTGGAAGGTCAACCGATGACCTAGGACCTTAAAATTGGGTATCATCGGCTTCCTCTCGTCACGGGCAGCAGGCTCGTTTTTCCGCTCGTTTTAGCTCGTTTTAGCTCGATCAGGGGCGAAACGGCAAGGGGGTCCAACGGACCCCCCCCCCTATACGTTAACGGCTGGAAAAAACACCAATACGGGCGAGGGTTAAGTTGACCTTTTCAGGTCAAATTACATACAGTTAATTCGACGTGTCTCAACGAATGAAACGTCATGCTGTTTGAATGAACATAAGCGTGTAGTCAAAAGTAATTGCATTAAAAAATGTATCAATTTTCTCCTCTGCATGCTAAATCGTTGACCCTGGGTTAAATCTGCGGACATTATGCAGAAAGACCTTTGAGGCTTTGAAAGAGCTATTCAGCTTTTTCTGCAGCGCTGTAGACGACCTACTGAGCTACGAGCCAAGTTGTGAAAAGATGTCAAAATGGGAAAATTGTTCGTGATTATATTAACTCTGGTGACATCCAGTGACCTCGTTGAGGACCTGATCGAAAACTGACATCAATAAATTTGACAGATCTCATAGCTTGCTATTTATTACCTATTCTTTCACGTTTTTATAAGTGTACGAGATCAGCGGATGTGGCTACCTAGCCCCTTGGCCGAGGATTGCAAGGCTTTGATTTTTCGTGTTTGGATTTACTATGGTAACGTTTCCGGGGTAATTGCTTCGATGAACGCGAGCTAGCAGTCATAGGTTATTTACCTACACATCGTGCTATACTTATCCTCTATTAGTATTTCAGTAGGCGGAACTATGGTCAAGCGTACCCATTTTCGGGAACGCATTTTCGTTCCCATGTTTGGGAACGATAAACCCAAATATGGGAACGCCATGTAGGCATTATTTAAAACAAGAAAAAGAACCGTTAAATGACGTCCAAAAAATATAAAACGATCGTGAACCGCCTGATATTTGTCTCAATATTGTTGGGAAAGAGTTTGATATTGTAAGGCCCATCGTAGTTTCAAATCGTTCCCCTATTTCTAAAGCAGTCCATCATCCGGGCCGCGAGCCCAAATTTGGGAACGCTCTCGTACACTGGCGCTGCAAGCGTTCCTTATTATGGGAACGGCGTACCCAAAATTGGGAACGATTTCACCGACGCCTTTCAGGGGCTCTTTTCATTAACAAGCATCACGTCCAACGCCGCAAATTATTGTTAACGCAACAATCATCAGATGACCTTTCCGGCAAGACCGCCGCATGTTTCGCCCGGTCTTCTGCGCTTTTATTCCCGTCGATCTCGCAGCGGGCACGCCCCCCTCTGCAGGATTACGTAATTCACAACGCTCAGCGATGTTCAACAAGGTCTTCCATACCTATATCCACCGTCCGCGCCGAGGGTGGAGACATGTCAAGCACCTGTCTGTTTATCACCGATAGTTGACGAGCACAAGGAAGTATCCAAAAATGGGAACGCTGAATATGTTCCACCCTCAAAACACCTAGTCCCAATGAAAATCTAGTTTTTTCCTTTCTTGATGAGTGTAAGTGGCAAAAGGCCTGGTAGGATGGGCACGAGGAATGATCGAAATCAGCATAAAAATTATAAATAAGCCACACAGAGCGACCTATATAAGAGAAATTCCCCCAAAACGATCACGCTTAGAAACACGGAAGACAAAAACCACGCTCATGACGCTCCTTATAAAACAACTCTAAACAGCTAGCATCCAAATAAAATATGTCTTTCTGGGATGATAAAATACAGCTGAATAATTTTAAAGGGAGATAATGACCTTTTTCCACAAAATCTGAGTTAGGATCATTTTCTGACAAAACACAACAAGTTATAATGTAAATTAAAACCATTTTGCTCAATGCGGTACCTTGCCGCAAATATCTCAACTTGAAGTCACGTTAGCGGGGAGCGCTGAAAATGACCGTTGAATAAGTACTTACATCACTTTTTGGTACTTGCATGTAATTTTGTAAAATGAGCGTATTCCTTACATTTGATCTTCATCACATCTAGTTAGTTAATGGTCGTCTATAGTGCCTTCAAAAGATATTCATGGTTTGGGGGTGGTTTATGTCTAAATTTACGCAACTATTTTTCCTGTTCATCATCTGAGGCCATATGCTGCTATTTTAGTAGCAACGACTCAATTTTGAATCGGTCCCGCCGACTGCACAATAAAAGAAGATAGATACAACACTTTTGCGGCATCACTGAAAAACTTATGCAGTACTGTTATCAAAATTCTCATAACACCGTTCGACAAACCTGAAGTCTTTTTTAAATAAATATGCTTGTATTTTTCGCTTCAGGCTCTGAGGCCAAAATAATGAATTTCGTAGTCGCAATCGCAAGATTTGGCTGCGTTTCTGGCGCATGCCGTTCATTTGTGGCGCAAAATAATACTTGGAAACAAAGAAGAGTAGGCACTATGTACGAATCTAATTAATTCTAAACCGAATTAACTCTAATTCAAATTAGAATCCTTACAACCAAGCAACGACAAGGCGATAACATAAACAAAAACCCAAGCGTCGCTGTTTGAAACAAAAGCGCCATATACTGCGACTTTTTTATAGAGAAGGACAAGAAGGACAACGCATTTCGGTGGGTGTTACAAGTACTACAAGTACTGCTTCTTTTTTGCAAAAATAAAAACCTTTTTCACATACGAAAATGTGCTAGGAAATTTTCATATTTTATAGAAACTACAGTAGAAATAGTATAGATGTCGAGTAATTTTTATTAAAGAAAAAAGAAAGCTCATTATCTCCCTTTAAACCACTGAAACTGAGTTTACAACAGTAGTTCGGTAAAATCACTGACGTTCCATGCGGTCGTGCGCCCCGACACCAAATGTCACCAATATTACCCCCGGACTGTCCGCGTGTTCGCTTGCATATGTCAGCATCTGGTGTCGCTTGTATGAAACTTCATAACCAGGCGAAAATTATTATACTTGACCTCAAAATGTAAAAGACGCTTCATTTTCCTTAAAGTTGCAAGTTAAATGTAGTAGGGGAGAGCGGGGCCAGTTGAAACACGGGGTCAGATGAAACATGGCTTTATTTTCAACGGTAGCAACATATGGCGTTGCCGACACCACTGCGCATCCGCGCTCGACCACTTCCTTTGTCAACGGCGTTTGGGCGGCAAACGGACGGTAATTTTGATTTGAAACTTGTTTTTGTGTTTTTGAGGGGCGTTTGGGAGAAATCGTTTTTATGAATATTTTGTGATATCTCACATACCTTTGTTTGCTGAAAGAAGAACTCCTGGCTCCGGAATAACACCTTATTTGGCCCTTCATTCAGCATGATACCGTCCCTCCAGCTCGTTTGACATGTGCTTTACAGCGCGTGCGAGATGGCGGGAGCGGATGGGGTCAATTGAAACGCTTCTCTGAGGGTCAGTTGAAACAGGGCCACAGGCCGTTTCAATGGACCCCGGTGACCTTTGCAATGGTTATCGTTCAGGGGCTGTAAACATGAAAGGAAATAGTCCACCTTTGAAATGAGCTTTTAAACTGAAATAGTAGTTTAATAAATTAATAGAGCTCAATTTTTGACCCCTTTTTCTCCAGCCTTTTGCTTGAAAGCACACTATAGCCTGATATATTTCTCATTTTTCTCATCCGCCCATTTTACCATAGTCTATGTACATTATGTCACCTATTATGAGGAACTTTGCACTTTTAGCTTTCCAACGACCTATTGAATGTAGCATTGGGAAAAGTAAACCGGACAAAATATCTCCTTAAGAAAGTGGCCTTAAAGAGGAAAACATCCCATTGTTAAGGATAGGTGCCATTGACCCCATGGGCTGGTTCAATTGACCCTCGCATCGGGGTCATTTGAAACGGGCGTAGAGCTGTTTTATAAGCATGCGTTTGGCAGCAAAATATGTTTGAAACATAATTTTACATATCTTAAAATAAAGCCAAAAGAGCATATTTTTTCATGGCATTGTGCATTTTTCGATATGACAACTAGATCTCGCTGTGCATGTCAATCTATAAAAAGTGGTTCAACTGGCCCCGCTCTCCCCTACAACCCATGTTTTCACCATTCCGTCACTTCAAAAAATCATTAAAGATATCATTCGACGGTCAATTTCCTTGTGCAACGGTCAGATTAAAGATAATTTTATAGAGACTTGGTAGATACTTAAATTAGCGTGCACTTTTTTGAAACGTGATGCACTAATGAGTTTTAGTGGGCGAACGGCCGAAAAATTACCTTCCGTTCCCATAAATGGGAACGCCCGTTCCCATATTTGGGAACTCCGTTCCCAAAAATGGGAACGTTCCTATATTTGGGTACTCATGACCATAGTTCCACCAACTGATTTACTGTGATTTATGTGAATATGACTGATGAATATCTACTACAAATAGCATTCATTTCTCAAGAGAAACTACCATCTGTGCCACTCATGATTAATCGCTGATCATTTGTAAAGGTAAACACGGTGTCATTTTTTGTGATTGTCGTGACCAACGTTTGTTTTCGGCGTGATCGGCGTTTAATGACGTCGTGATCGACGCCTGGCAGCGTCGTGATCGGCACGTGATGCGTCCCCTCCCCGTCTGCGATGCAGAATTAATGCGTGTAGTTGTGCCTAAATCCGTCGGGTACTGCGTTGTCGCCAGGGAGGGGTCCCCACTGCGTCCCCAAGGTCACACTGGTCACAGACTGTGACGAAGCGACGGCCACATTCGGGGCTCCGGTCGCGTTCAGTCAACATCAGCTGAGCTATCTCCAAGCTATTCTGCGCAGTGCGCCGGACTACGCATCACTTCCTGTGCGATCTCACAAACTTGTTCGATCCTTTCCGAGCAACTGAGGTTGTTTTGACTTCCGTGAGCTTCTGTGAGTACCCCGTCACTTCTTATACAGCTCCTGAGACTTATCCGTCCGTTCACCAGTGCCCGTCATGAGTTCAACCCTCCCATCCGTCTCGCTTGTTTTCCGCACACTGCTGGCGATGTTGCTTCTCCAAACAAACTGCCTGGCCCAGATGGTCATCGCCCGAGGCTACCAGCCATTCGGCGTACCGGACTCTGTAGCTTCAGGGCCGGTTCTGGAGACCGTCCTGGTCAGATCGTCGGGTGAATGCGCCTCTCGTGCGCTCCTCTACAACAGCCTCGGGTTTAACCTCCAGCGGACGGCAGATGCCAGCGGCCAGCGTTCCTGCCAACCCACCAACACCGTCCCAGGCTGTCATAGTGTTAACCTGGAGCAACGAACCGGCTGGGACTACTACCTAACCGGGAGGTCAGGTCAAAACGAGGCGGTCACAGCCCGTACAGACGGCTACACTATCAATACCTACGTCTCCGATTGGTCCAGCTACCCGGCTCTGCTGGCCACGGACGACCCCCACCGGCGCTGGGGGGTTGACTGTAACCGGCCGGCCACGCAAAGTCCTGATAGAGAGTGCAGCAGATACATCCTGACCGGCATCGATGACGGCGATTACCGCTTCGACGACCTCGACTATGCGCGCTGCTTCACGTGAGTATGCCGACGTACCGCAGCTCCGGATCTGTTTGAAAGAGGGCTTTAACTAAGGGAAGGTTTTTAGTTTGGCCGGATTGTGAGGAACGCTGTGGCACAGTTTACTAAAAAAGTTTTAATTTTGAAGGCTGAAGCAGACGTTTGAAGCGGCCGTCAGCCTGCTAGTCACTGTCGCTGTAGCAGCACACTTGCTTTCTCGATCACGGTGTGCCCCCCGCCCCCCCCCCCAAAAAAAAAACTTACTAAACCGCAGCGGGCGAACAGTTCCGTGAAACTGAACGACGGCCGTCTCAGTCTGTGATGCTGTGCCGCAGGACACAGTGGTACTGCGGTACAGTCTAACCAGACAGGCAGGCGGCTGGGCCACAGGGACGGGGTAAAGTAAAGATTCCGAGCACCTATCTTGTGTGATGGATAGGCCACGAATATTCTTATTGGCAGGGCTGCGGAGTCGATGGATTTTCGGCGACTCCGACTCCGACTCCGACTCCGGCTTTCAAAAACCAGCTCCGACTCCGACTCCGACTCCGGGCAGAATTGTCGACTCCGACCGACTCCAACTCCCGACTCCGACTCCGCAGACCTAGTATGGGCTGCGGAGTCGACAGATTTTCGGTAACTCCGACTCCGACTCCGGCTCGGGTTTCTAAAATCGACTCCGACTCCGACTCCGACTCCGGTCACAACTGTCGACTCCGACCGACTCCGACTCCGACTCCGACTCCGACTCCGCAGCCCTGCTTATTGGTATATACAGTCTCGACTGCACAGACCTGCGAACGTCTCGAAAAGCTGGCCGCTTCCAGCGCCACTGTTACTGACAGAAAAGAGCAGGAGCTGACTTTCCCTCCCCCGCAGGTACGGAACTGAACTCCGCGTCTCGGAACAGCTCGCCACAAAGCTCCCCGTGGAAATCACGCCCGACCAGCCGGCACAGGAGTGTCCACCGAACCACGTCGTCACCGCCCTCTCAGACGACAACTCCTACTTCGGCAACGTCGACTGGATGAAGTGCGCCCTTCTGCTGGCCAACTGGAGGGTCAACTACGACGACTGCATGTTCACGGACCCGAGCACGATCGGCGGAAGCACCACGGCATGGGGCGGCAGCTGGAACACCGGCACGCCACAGGATCTAGTGTACGGCGTGGTTGGTCTGTGGAGGACTGGGTATATCTATACCGGATTCAAGCAGTGCAGGCTCTACAGGGTGGCCTAGAGTAGCAGTGAAGTTATGTTGATCTAAACGCTCGCCGCTGACCAGCCAGCCGACTGGTCTCTCAATAGAGTTCTGAGCCTTGTCGCGCTTAGAAGTGTTATATGTCAGCCCACGTAGTGATGCATGCCATTGAACCTACATTCGAAATGCTAAGCACGCACAAAACAATAAACGCTATTTTTATTGATGAATAATGTTTTCATGAACAGCGGTCCGCGTTCTGCATTATAATACGTACAGGATAGTCCTCAGGTACGGCCCTCCAGGTATTTAGTGGTTGGTTGCCAATGCCAACATAACAATAAGCGATCTGCATTGATGAATACGTCTAATGGCTGTTGAAAACCATTGCCGAAGTGTGTGCACGAACCCTCTTCTCATTTCTATTGAGACATTTTACAGGAGTGTCTCTGTCATTTGAATTTATTACACCAAAAGCACATAGGCTAACCAACCACTCTTTTGCTGGAGGGCCGTACCTAGGGTAACTGATCACGGAACGAAATGCACTATATATAGACCCTTCCCACGTGATACGTACGTGACCGAGTCGCTCCAATCAGTGAATGTCACGTGACCACCCCATGGGCCGGTCACGTCATTAAACATTCGCTACGGTAATTAGGTGAGCGAGTACCACAGATCCATGTGGGACCTTGCAAAACACCGTCCGAATTAATGTAAAGGTGGTGGTTATGAACGGCGCGAGGAAGGATATTAGGACGCTGATTTTGGATAACCGAAATGTAACTTTGAGGGATATGGCATCGAAGGGTTGTTTCGTAGTTAGTGCAGTCAACCATGAGGGGGCTAAAAATAAAATCGGTAGACAGCGGTTTGGGGGCCTGAATGTCACCCAATTGACCTGGGGTAGGCTGAGATGGAGAAGAAGCGGATTCCAGATGTGAGTCAGAAAAGTCATGGACGTTTTGGACGAGGTATGGGGATGGCAGGGATAGGGGCTGGTCATAGGTACCTAAGACATTCAGTTCAATGCCGGAATTTGTAATAACTTGATCGGATGTCGTGGTATTGACTAAACGATTGTCGATAGCTTCCGAAATTGTAATGATCGGTTGACAAGTATGCCCTGTAATCTTATCAACACGATAGGTGGCATTGTACTGTGGGAGTAGGTACCAGCGGAAATGAAGGCAGGGATCATAATGAATGACGCCACAAAATCTAGTTTTTGCTGGAATAGAAATGCATGACGTGATGCCGGGCCATGAAAGTGATTCTTTGGTGATTTCCGGAAAGTATTCTCGCCGAGGAACACATTTGGCTCCCCAGCTGCAATACTCAAAGTTAGGGCATATCAACTTGGAAGAAATTTCAACGGAAACCGGAAAAGTATAATATTGGTGAATTGTGGTCCATTGGCAATAGACGTCTTCAAATTTAATCCGAATGTAATAAACATTGGCGCCACTGTCGTCCGAAAAGAACATGCAAGTCGTAGAACCTATGTTACTCAGACTAAGCTGTGCCTGTCCTGAGATAACACAGGATTGCTTACCTGTGGGCAGTGTTTGACACTGCGATATACGAGAAGATATTATTTTGAGTTCATTGCAGTCATCGTGAATAGAAGAAGCCAGAATGAGCGGTAAAAAACAAATAAGAATAACCACACTATACTTAAGCTGCATAGATTTAGGAGCGGGTGGTGTCTGTACCTGATTGGGTGAATCGGCAAATTGGGAGATTTTAGAGAAGGCTGTAGAAATCTGGCGGCGGGATGTATGGCCAGCTACAGCGCCCGTTCGTAGAGAAAGGCGGAAGCAAGAACGGACAAGACGGTAAATGCCAAAGATAATGTAGCAAATAGTACGAAGTATACTGAAAATAGCGTTACAGGCAGATCGAACGTAGATAATAACTAGACCAGAAACAATGATGATAAATCCATAAACTAAGTACTGAATGGTGTGGGGTAGGCATGAAAGATTCAACAACATTTCTTTGCAAAAAGTACAGGAGATTCTAGAGCATCGAGTAGAACTGGGGATCAAAACTGAGCCAGACAAAACGTTACCATCGGGGGAAACAAACGTAAACGATAACGTGCCTTCTGTGTAACGTAGTTCAGTTGGAAGAACAAATTGGCGATCGGTATCTGAAACAGTATGGATAATTTCGAGGCCATCTTTCCTGGCGATGAAAGTTCCTGAAGTATTGAAAGTAAAAACAGGATCATGAAAAATAATTTCGGCGAAATCGTTTTGAAAGTTGGCAGTGTCTACGCTGAGAAGTTTTCTAGCGGGTGCCAAGTTGATTGGGCTTTGAATGACACTAGAAGAGGGTCTTCGAATCCAAAATCATGGGAAATTTGCAGATAAGAATGGAAACTAGCAAAGCGGGTAACACAAGAGCATGAAGACTGATTATCACAGGGAAGCTTATTACAAAATGCTTCGTCGCCGTGGCAGGGCTGCGTCTCAGGACAATTGCAGACCTCTGCCTGGCGTCGGCGGTCGTCGTCTAACCGTCTGGTACAATCATAGGCAGCATGGGTCCCATTGGTTTCGAAATGCGGTTGAGAAAGAAAATGTGTCGGGGCATACAGCGTGCCTTTATGTTGAGCGAAAGTTACCCAATTAACGACGGGGCAGTCGGAGCACATTAAACAAGTTTGGTGTTCTGGGCATTGTTCCACGGCACAAATGTTGTCGGGCAGTTCCAGCACGGGAGGGTCGAAATCTCCGATTGCGCACCAATCGGTGGTACGATGATAGTAACATATATGGTATAGGCCTAAAGAGAACGAGATATACTGAAGTACAATGAATAATTTTGGAAGTGGGTGCTGCATGATTGTACCACGGTTTTCTCCAAGCACCTGAAAAAGAACGGGTCTTTTAATGTTATCGGTTGAACGTACGGCGTACAAATCATTTCAAAAATTATTCAACAGATATATATGATATATCGTGAACATTGGCAATTGTAATCATTGTCGTCAGTGACGAATCATCATCTTATCCTAACGGGGATATATACAAGGGAACGCGTTCCTTAATCTAGCATGCCTTTTCATGTCCGCTCACTGGCGGAATCTATCTGGCGGCCGTATATGATGGCGCGGCCTCAGATTGTAGGCCGGCTCGTCCTGTCGGGGACCTGGGTCTACCGCAGGGGCCGCGGGAACTTGCCATAGTTCCTCTAATAAAGCTAAATTGTATTCAGGCACTTCTGGTGCCGCAAGATCTGCTTCTTCAGCAGAGCGGGGTCCTGCAGAAATCCCTGGCGTGACCGGCAGTGTAATGAGCGGGTGTGCATCAGTATTACTGCGCTGAGTGGCCTGGCCTACGGAACCACCGTCAGGTTCGCAACTGCGAGAAGGATCTTCTGAGGCTTTGAGCTGCGTGTGCTCTCTTTATCATGATATGGAAGAAGGGAATCGGTCCCACATCCAGTGACAATTATAGACACGGAAACCGCTTAATTGCACATTATGGGCGAATTAAAAAAAAATGACTGGCGTCGAGCCAATGTTCATAAATGAGAAACATACGCATCAGAATTAACTGCGCTACAGAATAACAACTTAATTTTAAAGACACGAAGCTTTGGTGACGATGTATTTTCATATATACAGCTAATGCAGGGGCCAATGACGGTCAGCCCTCGCAAAGAGCGAACTAACATTCGCTATCCAGAGATAGCATCGGTATTCACTGTATTGAAAGAATACTAATCGTCTCGAATACCTATTCATGGTGCACCAAACACCTCACTTTATGTACAGGTGCCCCCCCCCCCCTTCCACCAAAACTGCACCTCTTTGTCCTCCCTCAATACCAGAGGATGCAGTGTGCTGGCCGTCCACACAAAACTAACCCAAACGAGCGGTTCATTCAACTGACCGCACCCGCGACATAAAATTCGCCAACAACACAAACTTGTGGCGGTTAGCCGGCTGAGTCGCCAGTCCGAGTCCCGCCCGCCACACTACCATGAGTGCTGTGATCACAGATGAAAAACCTCGCCGACCGCGCCGCCGCCGCGCAGAGCAGTGACACGAGTGAGATGAGATCGTGCTACACCCAGCACCAGAAATAAAGTCGTCCCGTCCGTGTCGATATGATGGTTGAGATTAACCCGCGCAGCAGTGATAAAATAATACGGTGCCCGTAATTTCTAATATACTGGTTTCAATGAGTAAATAATAACATATGTGGATAAGTAACGTAAGTTAGTACAGATTTTATGTTTAAGTGAAGATGGCAGAACGACGACGCGTGCACGTAACACACAGCCACACACTGTAAAATGATGAACCGAACCGCGAGGTATCCAGCCCAGCGCAGCACCCGTCACACGATGAAACAAAACAGCACAAAATGACCCCACAACCCTAAAACCTCATTGAGCCAGCCTCAGTTTGGCTGCAGATTCTCAGTTTCTCTCATATAGTCCAGCTTCATTCTGGCTCTAATATCCTCAGGGTAGCCAAGCCTGACTCTAGCTGAATGTTTGTACTACCTCTCAGGATAGGCCAGCCACGTTACGACTCAATATTTTTAGTTTCTTTCACTACAGCCCAGCTTCATTCTGGCTGGAAATTCTTCAATCCTCTCAACTTGGTCTCTCTGATAAATATTCACTGCTTCTCTCAGTATACACCAGCCTCATCCTGACTGAAGATTCTAGGTTTCTCTCAGTATAAGTCTCAGCACTGCCCGCGGCAGCTCACCGCAGTTTGAGGCGGAACGTATACAGCTCCATGGGGTCGAGCCCAAGTGGTGTGGAGAGCGTCAGAGTGCTGCCCGGGTGCACGCCGGTCAGGGAGACCTGCTGTACTGAGGTCTGGAAGCCCTTCGGCAACAGCTGCGACACGCTGAACTGTGGGAACACAGACGGAGGGGCAGTTAGATAGGGTGGCGTAGAAACGGTACAGAGACGGCCACCTGATATCAAGCGTTGAGCTTCGCGTGTACGAAGGGCAGACGGTGTTGTATAAGCGGTAATACATAAAACTGTCGCGGCAATGGCAGAGCTACATTTCTGCTCAGACTACTTTTCAGTAGACCTACAGCTGAGGTACGGCTGAATTCATACTTTTCACTGAGCTCGTGTTTATCTATCATTCAACCAGCATCCACCTCTTTCCAATTTCCATTATGTTATTCAGTGACCATTATCTTCATCCCCAACCATCCCTGCTATTCTCCTTTTACGCCCTAGCACATCTGTTGATAATCATTCATTATCCTCATCATCATCATTATTTCATTCATTATCATTCTATTTCCCTCAAACTATCACTATCCCTTTCCATCCCCCGCCCTCCCTCCCTTTCTCACCTTCCCCGCCGCGGTGCAAACCTCCCCGGGCGGGCCGGGGAACCGACAGTCGGCCGCCACCCGACGCACAGTGAGCGTCACATTCTCTCCCGGCCAGAACCGGTCCCCGCCGTCCCCTCCGGCCACACTGGCCCTCAGAGTAGCCAGCTCCAGGTCACAAGCGGCCGGGCTGACCGCCGCCGACCAGCGCTGGCGGCGGGCGGGCGGCGCCGCGCCGCGGGGCTGAGCGGCCACAGGCAGGTCCGGCCCCTCCACCAGAACGGTGATGGGTTGCAGGAGAGAGCGGAGGGCCGAGTGGGCCAGGAGGGAGGGGAGGGGTTTCACCGGCGGCGTCTGTGGGCAGAGCGGGGGAGACGGTGTGAGGGGTAAAGAATAATAGATTGCAGCAATTCGACAGATAAGCACGGTTTATGCATACCAGCCGACCAGTCTCAATCCACACAAATACACAGCGCCAGTGAGCTTAGAGCTACAACGAACATCAGTATGGCTGCCAGAACCCAGTTGCTGCCGCGCAACATCCTATAAAACATGACAAATAAAACACATTTAACGCTAGTAATCACTTGTCACGACCTGTTGAATCACAGTGCGCCAGCGTTAAACGTCAAGGAGCCGTCAATACTCCAAGGACTCGCGCAACGTTTGACATAACACAATCACAAAACACAGAAACAAGGTAGCCAGCAAAAGACAAGCAATCAGGCTGAAACGTAACAAAACACGGCGCTAATCAGTGATATCATATTGAACTGTCATTGACGCAACATATTTTTCTTATCCTCACTACTGCGTGTCTAAGTTCTCAGTAGTGAGTTCTGACTATGGGGTGTATCCTACCTACGAGACATGGTACTCGCTCAGCGCTCTGTTTTCCTTGTGCTCGCTCAGCACTTTGTTTCCCTTAACCCTATTCCTGGCGGGGGGGGGGGCCTCAGGAGCCCCCCCCCTGAGGTTTTTTGGTTATTTCTCCCAAACGCGTTGAGCTAGGAAGCTCAAATTTTCTGACTTTTCCTAAAAGGCTTCTACGCAACATGTCTGAAAATTTTGAGTTGATCTGACCTCAGGTCAGGTCACCAGAGGCGGTTTGGTGACCCTACCTCAGAAAAGTTTGCAATCACGCCAGAGCTAGAGTTTTTGACCGATCAATTTCTTCTCTTCAGGCTTTAGTTAGGGTACCAGTATGTGCAATTTGTATATCTCGGAATTTTGATATCGGTGACCTAAGGTCAGGTCAGTTTCGCGACCTCCCCATTATAAGTCAATGGGGGAAAAATCAACTCCCTGTTTTTACCACTAAAACGGGTCGGAATGGCCCCATATACCATACATGACTTCATATACGATCAACCTTCACTACCTTGAGGTCTGTTTTGCTGTTGGGCAGCTGTGAGGTCATGTGACGTCATCAAAGGTCACCAAAGGTTTTTGGCCAATAACTCCGTACAGGAACAAGATACAGACGCGTGGATGGTCTCATTGTGTTCAGCTCGTCAAGACACATCGAATGATATACATGATGACCTCGAGGTCACGTGACCTGAGGTCAACCTTTGACCTTGACCTTTCGAGGTCAACATATATATCATTCGATGCGGATTGACGAGAGGATCACGATGATGCCCTTAGTTTGTTCCTATCTTGACTAATTCGAAAGTTATTCGAGAAAAACTCTCCATATCTAGCGCCGCCATTTTGACTTTTTCGACCCCTGTGACGTCATCTTTGACCTGACCTGAAAATGACCTTAGTAAAAATTGTAGATCTTGACCGTGCGTATCCGATGCCGTTTACCGTTTGTCGCTGCGATGTGTAGTTTTTGAGATCTGAAGGGGGGGGGGGCCGAATCGGGGGGGGGGCCGAATCGGCCCCCCCGCCAGTTTCTTGTCCCGGCGGAGCCCGCCAGGAATAGGGTTAATGCTTGCTCAGCCCTGTTTCCCTCAGTGCCCGCTCAGCACTGTTTCCCTTAGTGCTCGCTCAGCGCTCTGTTTCCCTCACCTGCGAGTCGGGGTACTCGAGCAGCAGCCGGAACGTGCTGAGCGTTCGCCGGGTGTCGGTGACGCCCTGGCCGGCGCCGCGGTTATCGTCCTGCATCAGACGACGGTCCAGCATCACCTGGCGAAATATCAGCACGTCAGCCGTCCGTAAGACATTAACTGACGTCACAGAGTCACATCAGCCGCCGGTCCAACATCACCTGGAGAGACGTCAGTAGGTCAGTCGTCCGTAAATCATTATTTTATGTGACAATCACATTAACCACCGGTCCATCGCCATCTGATCGGACATCAGTTAAGTGGTCCGCAAGACACATCAAATACTGGGTCGATTTAACCTGGCATATAATATCAGTCATTCAGTTCTGTTTCCACACTAGACAAAAAACAATATTAGATCTCGGTTTCCATCCATGTAATTCGTGCATACGTTCTATGGCATGACACGTTTGCCCGTTCTCGTAACGTTTTGCTCCGAATTCACACATGACCATTCGTTCCCATTCAATCTCCTTGCATACCAGACAATGGACGTCTCATGGTTGGCTTGCGGCCTGGGGGTTGTCCCCCTCTCTCCCTCCTATGCTACCCCGTGTCGTACCTCCAGCAGCCCTGACGCCTGATTGTCCCTGCCCTCCCTTCCCGTTCCTCCCATGCTATCCCGTGTCGTACCTCCAGCTGCCCTGACGCCTGACTGACCCCACCCTCCCCTCCTACCGGCTGTCCCTCCACTCCCACTCCCTGCCGTACCTCCAGCTGCCCTGACGCCTGGCTGGCTCCTCCCAGAGGTTGTCCGAGGGTCAGCGTGAGTCTCACGTTGGCGTCCTCAATGTACATCATACTGGGTACCGGGTAGTAGTTACCCTGGATCGGTAGCTTCTGCAGGGTACGACGCTCAATTGTCTGGAACGGGACGGTAGGGTCACATGTCTGTGCAGGGGACACATCAGATCAGCATTAGAGGGGATGTGCTAACTGTACGCCAGTGTATGCTGGTTTGAGGCTATAAGACAGAGTCAGCAGAGGGAAGGGAAGGATTAATGAGCACAGAGAAGGCGCTCACCATGGGACGGTTGGGAAAGGAACAAAGCGACGGCTGGTGATACGAATAGACAGCTAACATTCAACAACGGGCTCAAAGCATAGTCACGTAACACTGCATGAAAAAGGCCCACAACGAAATAATCAGTTTAGCAAACCTCTTATCATCAAAAATCTTTTTTTGTCACTTACAAAGCAGCTGTAATCGGTAGGCGTGAGTATGATGACGGATTGGGCAGAAAGTCCACCCTGCAATCTTTCCAGCCCCCCCCCCCCCCATACACATCTCCCCCGACCCCACCCCTTATCCCGTCCGGCACCGACCTGGAAGCCGTTGAGGTCGGTCACCAGACGGTCGCCGCTCTCAATAGCTGAGCTGAGCCGCATAGCCAGCTCAAAGTTACGCTGCTGAGACACATCCGCGCGGTTCTCTATCTCCACCCAGCCGGCGTTGTCGCCCTCTGCGGGATCAAAAAGGTCCGGTCAAAGGTCATGCCAAATAGTAAGTTAGATCCAAAAAGTCATGCTAAATGACTTAAATGCATGGAATATTCCAATTTACTTGACACAATTCTGTTGGATTAGACCAGTACAAAAAGATTATCTTTGAGTGCCTAGGTAAATTAAAGCATCTTACGGTAATTGACAGCATCCACATCCAAACCCAGAAGCATTCACATCTATGCATAGTTCCAAACATAGTTCTCACAGCACCGCCCTTCTGCAGATAGCCAGCAGAGTTCCCCACCGTCACTCACCGTGGCTGAGCCGCACAGTATGTTCCACCTCGGGCAGCAGGACGGTCACCTCATCCACCAGCGGTCCTCGGGTGACCCTGACCGCTCCCTGCTGGCGGTACGGCCTCGCCGGCCCGTCCGGACGGAATATATACGCCCCGGACATATCAGATCCCCGCGCCACGCCGTACGCTACAAACTCAACGGTCAGAGGCGCGGCGTCGTGGTTGGTCAGCTTCACTAGTCGCAGCATACCGTCCGGGGCAAACTGGAGCCGGGCGGTGGAGGACTCCAGGGTCACTGGGGTTGGTTCTGCAGCCACCGTCACCGCGTAGGGTCCACTGCGGTCGGAGGGATCTGCCTGAACCCCAGCGACTCCAGGGGGAGACATGAGCGTCACCTCCGCTAGAGAGTGGAGTGAGTTTTCCCCCACGCCCGTCTCCCGTACGGAGAAAACAGCCAGGGAGAGCGGCGCCAGCTCTGCCAGGAACGTTACCCGATGTGCGCCGGGCAGTCGCCTTCCCCCAGCGAACACCGGCGCACACTGGGACCTCAACGGTCGGCCGTCAGCGTCTGTAACCTCCACATGGGCCGCCGACACGTGTAGCGAGACCATCTCGGCGCGGCGGTGCGCCAGGCTGTTAAACAGCGCCACCTGTCGCGCGGCGCTGGTGCTGAGCTGAAGGACCGACGGCTCAGGGAGGCGATCGGCGTGGGGTCGGCGGGAGGACGGTACCCAGTAGTTGGCGTTCACATCCGGCCGCCAGCCGGCCAGCGAGGGGAGAAGGAGGAGCTGAACGGACTGCTGCTGCACGCGACTGCACCGCTGGAGGGCAGTCATCATCCTGGGGAGAGGGGAGGGCAGCAGTCAAAAGTTGAAAGAGGGGAGGCAGCCAACTATTTTGAGCCTGAGCGCAGAGGGTGAAGAGTGACTACGGCCATAAGTCTGTGTATGAGGAAAACGTTATCACAAAAGGCCGAGACACAAATAAAATGATAAATTGATTCGCACAATCTTGAAATAAATCAGCAGCTCCCGTCCAGACTGAGGCGGAGCCTTACACGACTCATGGACGGTGAAAACTAATATGACGGTTACGACGGTTACGAGAGTTCTGCATATTATCAAATTGACAAAAGACATAGAGCGATCTGACGACGCACGTTTTCTGACGTGGCAAGTTGTATCTAGAGCAGCATGACCACATATACAGCAGCTATTACATTTATGTAATCATAACTAAGCAAAATGGCATAACATAGCTACTTATCTTACAGCCTACATATTCCTAACTCTGCTTCCTCCTCATGATCGTTACGGACCTACAGGCCACCATCCGACTCTCCAACCCACGCCGTCCTTCTCTCTCACTTGTTTCCATAGTCGATGACCACACGATCTTTGGCGGTACCGGTAATCCCATCGTGGTGTTGGAACAGCGAGAACGCTCGCCGGGCCGTCACCAGATCAGCCATTAGCTGTGAAAGGTGGTCCCGGGCGACCGCTGACGGCTTCCCGCCGATCACCGAGAGTGACAGCGAGTACAGGATCTCGGCAGCTCTGAGAAAGGGAATGAGTTGTTATAGAGAGGCACAGACGCAGGAGTAATGGACAGGATATCAAATACATGGACTACCATATTTGTTGGTAGACTTACCATAAAGGGTATACAAACAATGGCAACGTGGAAAGATATCATCATCTCTAAGGCCGACTTCGAAGCGCGGGGCTAGAAGGAATTCAACTAATACTTCAAATCCAGACACGTCGTCCTCCACAACGGCAAGCAATTACGAGCAGCCAGTCACAGCCTTTACCATCCCCCGCCCCGCGCTCACCTGAGCTCCCCCATGAGCACCCGATCCATCTGCTTGTGGAACGGCCGTGACGTATAGTAGCCGCTCCAGTACTCATCGTTCTTATCGGCGTACGTGAAAAAGTCGCCCGAGAGTCGCGGGAACGTGGACAGACTGGTGGTGGCGCCGGTATGTTTCGACTCGGCCTCCAGTGCGGCGAAATACTCGGACAGGGTGCCGAACTGCGCCTGTGAGAGGAGGTAGAAAACTTCAGCATATTTTCACTGTAACTAGACACGACAATCAATCTCATGTAGCTTCACGTGTCGATATCACCTTAACCTGGCGTGGCATTCTGTTATCTCTAAAGAACTGAAGAACTGAAGTAGGCAATTTGACATGACCGGTAAGTAATAGCACATGATCTTACGTAACCTTACATGATCCATAGCCTCCCCTTATCACACAAGCCCTAGCACAACCTCAAGTGGCCTCACACGACCTTTTGTGACCTCTCCTGACCTCATGTGACCTACCTCGACATGCCAATCTGTGCGACTGTTCATGTAGTCGAACAGCCTCTGGTAGTTGGTGTATTGCGCCTCCCATTCTGCCTCAGAGTCGTACCGAAAATCATCGCCCAGGGGTACCATTAGTACGTTCGAAGCGTAAAGCTGAGACTTCTTGCGGTACTGGTCTAGTAGCATGAGCGCCCTGGAAGAGATAAAGGAGGGTGGTCAGCCTTCTGATAGTATTTACTGGCCCGGTAAGAAGCACCCGTTCCGTCATTTCTATCCTCAGGACATTCAAATCCTTCTCCTCCACGCCACAACCCCTAGTCCGGGCTGCACAGGCAAATTTATCCAATGCGGGCGGCTCCCATTGGAGCGCTTCGCAGCTCCTAAGGGAGCCCACCCGTAGCCGGGTGCAGAGAGTGCTTGAGGGGCTGGGTGGCCTATAGAAGTGCCCTTTTTCGACCCACCAGCCCGCAATGAGTGGGTAGACAAAACACGCATGGGTTGCATCACCAGGAAATACCCTGGTGCGGGTTGTATGCGGGCATAAAAATATCTTCTTAGCTAAAACAAAACAAGATTTCCCCTTGAAAATGGAAAATAAATATGCTGCAGCATGGCCTAGAATACTTCACATGTGCAGTAAGATGTCCTGGGAAAAAATGACTAGAAAGTGGAAAAGCTTTTTGGCTGCTATGCGGGTTGTTGCGGGCTGCTACCAATGAAGTTCCCCATGCGGGTTGTGGGTATCTGGAAAAGGGTTGTGGGGCGGGGCGGGTTACCTGGATCCCCAAAAAGGACACCTCTAGTGGCTTATCCTTTGGACGGGCTCAGCCCCGGTGACTCACTAGGGTGCCTGCCCAGACCAATGTCTCCCCCTAATTCCTATCATCCTCCCGGCTCTGCAATGGTCTCAATGGACCGAAAGGGTCTAACCCAGCAAAAAACAAACAAACAAACAAACAAACAAACAAACAAACAAACAAACAAACAAACAAACAAACAAACCGGTAAGAAGGACTCTAGCCACGAGTGGGGAGCGGCAGCCAGGACGGTCATTTAAGTCGATTTTTCAAGCCCGTTGGATCGCTTAAAGTGCACAAAAAAAAAACACGACACACACACAAGTCACAACACAAGACCAGCAATAGGAATGAACTGAAGAAGGAACAGAGAGCCAAAAAGTGAAATCAAGAGCAAGATTATAACTATTTTCAGCTGGCCAGTACTAAATGCATTTAGGTTTCAATGTGTACAGGGTGAGCCATAAAGATTTACCCATCGATAAATTCACTTTATTTCCAAACGGGTTGGCGTAGGTATGCCATATTTTGCATATATGTCGCAAATTTGTCTCCAATCCTGACAGTGTAGCTCATTTTGTATATGCTCGTCCACTGTCTCTGCTACGCTCCTGAAATGCGAGGTCGTCTTAACGCACATCCGCCGCTCCTGAAATTCAGGAATCACCACTGGGTGTTGGCTGCTGAACACTCCTTGGTCTAAAGAATGCTGGGCACAATTTATCCCCGACTTCAGTCCCACGGGCTTTGCAAACTGAAATATCCTGAAAACCCGACTCTACCGAGTCCCTGAAACACCGCAAATGACATACGGCGCAGCATTGTTATAGCATGGGTGATCGAGGAAAATAAGTGAAAAGACAGTGCGGCGGCCGCGTGCCATAGTGCTCTTGCGTCTCGGGCGCGTAACATAAGAAGAATGCAAGCATACAGAAAACAGACTAAATTTATTAGTTATGAGATGACGTTGTTATATGTATGTAAAAGATGACATAGCTATGTCAGCGCGCCTTGAAACAAAGTTAAATTTTCGATGGGTTAATCTTTATGGCTCACCCTGTACTTTTCAGTAAGGCGTTCAATGAATCAGACTGCAAATACCTTGACGAATCAACTTGCTTTGACATCATATTATCATTTTTGTGGAACATGGTGAACAGAAGCTCCAGACGAATTTTAGCCCTTAAGAGCACCCATTCATATAACAAGGAGTGGGCAGATAACAAAGAATCCATAAAATTAGGCACCAAGTACTCTCCATTCCTCTGCACATACGGACTTCAACGATCAAACGACAAAGCTTAGCATGCTTAAACAGACCCAACTAAATAAAACAAGATGACTCACCTTTTGGCCACGTTCGACTCTTTGATTTGTACGGGCGGCACCTTCCAAGGACAGCTATACCGGCCGCCCGGCAACCGGGCAAAGTCAAACTGGCAACACACCTGGAGAAATCACACGGCACAACTTCAGCAAACTTCTCTAGAAAGATCCTTATCATGGAATACAAAATGCATGAGTTCAGTGCGATCTCACAAGCTGCAAGGCATCCCCAAATTAACACCAACAAACCATTTCGATGCAAGTGAACTGAGACTTTATGGGGCTAGGGTGAGCATTCAAAGCCCTTGAAACAATCGAATTAATATGTTCTACCCACCAGCTGTCACTATTTAATTGTTCCAGCACAGCGAGACGTTAGAAAGATCGTGAGTCGGAAGGGCTGCCTCCAGCCTGCGCTAGTCTGTGCTCATATTGGGGTCGGGGCCGCAGCCCAAGTGCGCTAGTCTCTCACCTTGGGATCGGGGCCGCAGCTGTGCGGCGCATCGTAGCTGTAGAAAGGCATCAGAAGGCAGAACATATCCGTGGAATCGCCGCTGTCTGCAGCACGGGAAGAGAGAGCCACATTAGTTAACGGAAGAGAAGAGAGTGGGTAATGGAAAGACCGCACTCCGTGGTGCACGTGAACATCGGTTATACGCTGTTGTCATGACGACATCCATTGTCGGAAAGGTAGACTGCGATAATCGCTATTCTCTGTTACATGATAGGTGATCAATGATCATACACTGACATGACCATACCATTACCTCCAATTACGGTCAAAAAGGCGACCAGTCTGAAGAGGTCGCCACCTCAGGGGCCGCATAGTGTTAGTCACTGGACAGACGTGCTGTCACGTTATACCATCGTTATACGTTGAACCTCGCCCAAAATTGAGCTGTATTCCCCACGACCCTCGTCAGAAGCCCCTCCTCTCCGCGGCAGCACTCACCCCAGGTCTGTCTCCACCAGAACTCGAGCTGTTTGTGGCGCGACAGGTAGCGTTTGATGACGTAGTGCACCCTCTGGATGACCATGTGATCCAGGCCTGATCGGCGCAGGAAGTAGGCCGTGGTCGGAGACATGCCGAACGGGTCGATCGCCCAGCCGTTACTGGCGGAGATTATGGGTCAGAGTAAGTCAAACGCGGCACAAAACAGGTCAGCAGAGGGCAGAATAGGGCGGAACTGTTCAACCTTCTAACAGAGGAAGATGGGTATCAAGACAGGACAGTCTAATGTAGGATGCCATCAATGAAGCTCATTGCAAGACAGACTCAGACGGTGACAGTTCCACTGTGGCAGTGCGCGTGAAGTCAGATTGTTGCAGGACAGGATAGAAGAGGGCGAGGTAAAAACAAAAAGAGGATCAAGGCAGAAGAGACAAAGGCTGAACACGTCAAAGTTTCGAACCGCCACAATGGCTATCTCTATCGCTAATAGCATGTCGAGTCACAGGAAATCAGCGGTAATTTCAATAAAAGGCACAGGGGACTTTTCCATGTCAGACCACAGTCAATGTGGCTCATGTAAAGTCAGCTATGAGCATCGCAACCATTACAGCAGTCTCAACTCCAGTCAACCTTATTGGGTAACCATGGACAGGAACCTACCACCTGCAGTGACTGTCCTGACGCCACCAACCCACCAAACATCTGTCCTGACCTTCCCAATCTCCCACACATCCTATCCTCACCTCCCAGCCGCCAAGCAAACACCCCAGTACTGACCTGACTGTGGCGTTGAGGTTGAGCCTCAGCCATTCGTGTCCCGTCGTCAGCTGCTCCAGTATGGACAAGTAGTGAGAGTTGGCCTCGTCGTGCATTACCCAGCCGGCGGTGACCAGTTCCAGCTGGCCACGGGATACTAGCCTGTGAGATACAGATACATACACCGAGGGATGGATTAAAACATACCTACATATATACCCCACCTAAGGTCGCTAGTTCAACTGGCAAAACGTTGCCAACCTAAGAGAGGAAACATATGCATTCAATGCTTAAAATGGGAATTATGAAAAGACACAAAGGGACCCACTTCAGAAGCTCATATTGAAATCAATTTGTACTCAGTGAACATGACTTGTTCACTATCCTGCATATAGTGCAAGACAACAGGATAACGCAAGAATAAATCGGCCGAACAGACGTCACCCATCAAATAGAGCCCCAGTTTACTGACCTTCTGACCCTGTCCTTGACCTCTGGGCTGATCTCCCGCCACCAAAGGTCGAGGTAAGAAATCTCCGCCCAGATAAACCTCATTCGCGGGTATTTCTCCAGCATATTGACCATGGAGTTGAAAATGTGTCGCGTTTGATCCGCGTAATACTTTTCGAACGTCTTGATCCAGCCTGCGACAGAGAGATCAGCAGCTGTCAGCTAGACAGACATATGCCAACTGACGTGGCAGACGTGTGCCAGCCAATGCAGGCCCATGCACGAATGACAAAATTTTAAGATAAACGTTTGTCCTTGTGCCTTTGGCATCAGAGTACAATACGCCGCCGCAAGTGCCTTTGTTTTGCTAAGCCACTTGGAAAGTCACCTATACGGACTGAGAATGCTTTCGACGCTCGTGCTTTCGGACTAATCCAGTTATATACAATCAAATTATAAATCATTTCGTGTCATCTATCGTTTCCGTGAATGTTGCACCATTGCGGGTCGCATCATAGACCACAAATAGAAAATAAAACACTGAAACAGCGATGGCATTACAATTTTTCCAGACTTTCTAATAAACTCACCAGCTAGGTACTGACACGCCTGACTCACCACAGCCATCGAACATGATCACCAATAAAAGAGTAATCACACTCTCATTAAACTCACAGCACCACCATGACCGGCCGACTCACCATAACCGAGCTCACCGGACTCACCCGTAATTAACCCACATCACTCACCGACAGTGAGCTCTCACCACCACTATCAACTCACCAGGATCATTGTGAGAGTGCGGCACGACGAACACCTTCAGTTTTCGCTGCGGGGACCACTCGTTGGCGTCGTACGTCACATCCCAGCCCTGTTTCCACGCGCCGCCGTCGGGGTTGTCGAATGGAATGTCGCGATAGACGTCCAGCATCTGGAAATGGAATGGCATGGGTAAATGGAATGTCGCGGTAAATGTCCAGCATCTGTGGGTGGAATGGCACATGACGGCATGCCAAGAAATGGCATGCTGGAGTACCCATCTATCACCTGTGAACGGAATGCGGAGTATGTGAACGGAATGTTAACGGAATGTGGAGGATGAATGAAATGGCACATGTGAATGGAATGTCACGGTAAACGTTCAACATCTTCTTAACGGAATGTTGTAATACATAAAGAACATTCAAGGAGAGTGCAACCCCAGCTGGCCTCGATTCAGCTTCACAACTCACAACTGACCTGCACGTCTGTCTTGCCCGGCGGCTGGCTGCCAAACTCGCACAGAGACGCAGCGTCCGCCGGCTCCCTGCTCTCGGCGACGGCGGTGGGCGGCGGCTCGCCGCCCCCTCCCTGGGCGGGGGCGGCGGCGGGGGCGGGGGCGGCCGGCAGGGTCATCAGCCGCTCGATGGCGTCGTGCAGCTCGCCGGCCACCTGTCGACTGCGGGAGAGGTCTCCCTCCAGGTGCAGCAGCCGCTGCTCCAGCATCTCCTGCGAGCCCTGGAAGGGACAGGACAAGGCTGTGTTAGCTCAGAGTACCTACAACAGTTGGCTGGGCTGGGGCATATGTCCCCATAAAAGCTCTTGATCCATTATTGATGCTCTTGGAGACTACCACTACGTTTCCATGGCACGTTGAAATCGATTAAACAAAGTTTCATGTGTGATTTTCCAAGACACTATTCACCTAATGCAAAAATAAGGAAATTTATGGCTTAAGCAGACTTACCACTTAATCCTATATTTATAGTTTTTAACAATGTCTAAATGATACGGTAATGAATAGGTACCTATTTTGTAAGTAAGATTAACTTGCACCATGGAAACAAAGTCTATACCACAGTATTTACACAATTTGGTCTCAGCAATTTAAGAGTTGGTGAACAAGATTAACTGCACACATGATAAACCATTAAGCCATCACAACATATATATTCATCACATACCTTTTCAGCTCCAGGAAGGTATGACATCTGGATAATGATAAAAATAACTACTCCAACAGATAATCCCAAAACCAGCTTAAAGATGGATGTTGTTGACCTAAGCTGCATCATTTTTTTTCACTGTTGTATTAGACGAACCAAAATAAAACTAAAACCTGAAAAAGACATCTGGAAGATCATCTGGAAGATCACAGACGACCCGGAGTGCTGCAAAAAGAACTGAACATGGCAATGCTAACTGGCAGGCGACGGCCCCGCGCCGTTACAGTGATGTGGTCAGAGGCATTGAACACTGTGACACTGCCTGGACGGCGGCCGCCCAACGCCGGGACGAAGATGAGACCCGCCGGGAAGCAGTCACCTCACAGCGCTCCAGAGCCCCGAACAGAGACTGCACTCACGGCGTCGGTACATCTAGCGCGGTCGACGCTGTCGGCGGCGACGGAAGTAACGCCACACATGGTGACGGTGGCTGGGAAGAGGAAAGGCCGCGCCGTTATGGACCATTCGTGCCAGCTAGATACCATGGACACCAAGATGACAATGAATGGGTGTCAACCTATCAGCGCCGTGATGGAGACGGACACTGGGCAACAGCCGCCTCTCACCGCCCAGGCGCCCCTAGTCGAGGCAGCGAACAGGACGCCGGCGCTCCCTGGGTTCCAGCTGCCTCCCGTCACGTCAGAGGAGGCGCCACACACGGTGGCAACGGCTGGAGGGCGACTGCTTCGCAATGTGACGGATCCGGATACCGTGGGTGGCCCTATCAGCGCGCACGAGAGGCCACCTCCTGGGAATAGCGCCCAGATGGCTACTCCTGGGGGCCATCCCTGTCCTGCTGCCACCGCTGTGAAGCATGACAGAGCGGAGTGCCGTAATTCTGTGGACGCAAAAGTAACTCTGAACATGAACCTCACTCTGGGCACTTATAACTGCGAAGGATTTCTCGCAGGAGCGCAGTATATCGCCGACTGTCTAATACCTGAATGTGATATCTTATTTTTATGCGAAACCTGGCTAGCCCGTGCCCAGGGTGCTTATCTGGAGCATGCACTCTCCTCTCTAAGTTCCGAAGAATTTCAGGTATTTCAAGAATTCGCCATGGAACTACCACCAGGGACTGGAGATGGCAGACCCCACGGTGGCGTGGCTTTTGTTTGCCGCCGTCAAGCGGGGCGCACATTTCGCGCTGTAGAGTGTAATGATTCTCGTATCTGTGGAGTTACGATTGTGGAGCTGAGCCGTCCTCTTATAACGATAATTGGCTGCTACATGCCGTACTGGAATTCATCTGCCGTAAATTTTGAAGAGTACACAATCCTGACGGGGAAGCTTGATGCATTATTCTCTTCGCTAAGACCCTCAGCTCCAGTGGTGCTTGTAGGCGATTTTAACTGTGCTCTGCCACCACTGTCACCAGAACTGCGCCCACCGGGCTGGCACCGTCTTCGGGGTTTCTCTCCGCTGAGTCTTCTAATGCAAGACTTATTGGACGACCACGGACTGACAGTCGCCGAGTTCCGGTTCTCGCAACCAGTGGCGTACACCTATGCTCGAGCTGACGGCCAATCGCACATCGATCACATCGCTGTACCGCAATGTCTGGTGCCTCAAGTTCATGATTGTCGCATCGTAGCCCCCTGTGTGGACAACCTGAGCCCACATCTTCCGGTCCTTTGCAGCGTGGTGCTGCCGTCTGCCTCAGCTGGCACCAGTCTCGATGTCTCCAGCCCTCCACTAAATATGGGTTCCATCCATTCAGAAGTACTAGATTGGAGTTGTCCAGAAAAACTGCAGATATATTTGTCTTCTCTGGACGAGCTTATTGGTGCTTGTCAGCTCACCAACGGTGCCACCCCGGATGAGATTGACGAAGCAATTACACGATGCATACATACCGCTGCGCGAATCGCCGGATGCTCCAAGTCGCGACGTCCCCCGAAGCCCTGGTGGTCGCCTGATGTGGCAGTGGCGCGGGATCGCACTCGTTTCTGGCATCAGATATGGGTAAACTGTGGCCGTCCTACCCTCTCAGCAGTGGCACAGTGCTATCAGGCTGCAAGATCTGCTTACCGTCACGCCCGCAGACGTGCAGCAGTGACGCGGATCGAGAGCGAGGCCCACACTCTCCGACTGCTCCGCCGTGACAAAAATCTGACAGCCTTCTGGCGACGTGTGCAACAGATACGGCGTAATGGACTCAAGTCGGCCTCTGATCTATCCGCCGCCGACTTCCGCACCCACTTCCAGACTGTGCACCAAGATAGTCACAGGCAACTGACTCTGGACCAGCTCCAAATTGCTGAACATGTAGATTCTCGACTAAGGAGAATCCGTAACGATGCATCCGAAAGAACGGTTTCAGCTGGACAAGTAGCAGGCCTCATTCACCGGTTACAGCGTGGGAAGGCACCTGGTATAGACGGCATCACGGCGGAGCACCTTCTCTATGGTCAGTCGCCTTGTCTCCTGTCAGCTCTGGCGCACCTTCTCTCTGTCTGCCTGTCCACGTGTAGCGTGCCAGCTACCTTCGCTGACAGCGTTATTGTACCCGTGTTGAAGAAATCTCAATCGGACCCTAACTGCTTGGACAACTATCGACCGATTTCAATCACAACCTGCGCATCTAAGCTGCTCGAGCTGCTAGTGCTAGACGAACTGAACGCCTCATTTGAACCTCATCATCTGCAGTTTGGTTTTATCTCCAATCGGGGCACCATGCAAGCGTCTCTGTTGGCTGGAGAGACCATACAGCAGAATCGAGCCAGGGGTCTTCCTGTTTTTGTCGCAAACCTTGACGCGAGGAAATGCTTTGACCGAATATGGCATGACGGTCTGTTCTTCCGTCTGGAAGACTATCTTAGCGACTACTGCTGGTGCCTCATGGTCACCTGGTACCGCCACCTCTCTGCAAGGGTGACTTTTGGTGGCGCCACATCTGAAGCGTTCCTGGTCTGCAGGGGCACCAGACAAGGGGCCATCTTATCGCCAACCCTTGCAAACATCTTCCTCTTACCTCTTATTGAGGTCCTAGATCGCAGCGGTCGTGGAGCATATCTACACAGCCAGCACGTACCCGCTATCTGCTACGCTGACGATATTCTCCTTATATCTGCGAACGCGCGTGACCTCGGTGCAATGCTGCAGATGGTGGGAGAATTCGCGGCTACTTGGCGCCTCGACTTCGTTCACCCTGAACCGGGAAAAACCAAGAGCCATTGTATCATATTTGGACAGGAACTATTCACGAGCACACCGAGGTGGACACTGTCAGGACAGCAGCTGCAGATCCGGCAGACGACCGAGCACCTCGGTACGGTGCTTGATGACAACCTCAGCACAGACAGCCACGTGGCTCAGCGCATCAGGCGTGCTTGTGCATCATTCTATGGCCTCACACCCCTGGGCAATTTCACCAACCGCCTGACTGCTGCTGACAAAATCTTCCTCTGGAAGACAGTAGTGCTGCCGGCACTGATCTTCGGCTGTGAGACGGCTCCCCTCAGCTCCGCCGACATTGAGCGTCTAGACTCGCGACAGGCTTCGCTGATCAAGGCAGCGCTGGGTCTGCCGCGTTCTGCGCACCATACGGCTCTTTTGATTGCTGCTGGGGTGCCTCGCATCGGTGAGGTGCTGCGAGGTGATGCCCTCCGCGCATTCCGTAATGCTTTCCGCGCTGACCACCGTCTTCGCCAAGCCTACGTCACTGGACTGGCCAGACTTGCTACGTACCCCGAGCAGTTGGATGGGTCGTTTATTGGCCACGTATATAATCTGTGTGGTGGGAATTTCGGCGCTATCATGCACATCGCTGCTGGGTACGTCGATCACGACATAGTCCGGGCACCACTCCAAGAAAGCGGTCTTATAGACAGTTTGAAGATGGTTTTGGCAAGCAACTGTCAGGCCTCGCGGCGCCTGTTAAGACTACTAACCTCCTGAGTGCTGATTAACTGTGTGTGTGGGTGGGTGGGGTGGGGGGGGGGGGGGTATGTATCTTTTTGTCGCATGACGATGCTGAATAAACAATAATAATAATAATAATAACAAGGGTCAGCAGTCAGCACCCAGCAGCATCTATTCATCAATAGCACTGTAAAACATGGTACACACAGGCTGAGGCAGGTGTCTCAGATTTCCATCAACTGGAAGGTGGGTGAAGTCATCCTGATAAACAAGAAGAGGAACAAACAGCTGCCGACAAAAGTACAGGCCCGTCACCCTGACTGCTGCTCCATGCATGGGTCTGGACTCTGGAGACTATAATATAGGACCTCATGATGAGCTAGGTACCTTATCTTGACTGACCAACCCTACAACACTCAGAATAGTAACCAAAAATAAAAAAAATAATAAAATCACATGCAACAACTTGGCTGTTGGCAAGTCTTGAGGACTTGAGTATGGTTGAACAGTGAATGCAACTTATCTTGACTTTCCAAGGCATTTGGCACAGCAGGTCTAAACTGTCACTTATCAACACACTCACAGCTTACAGCATTGACAAGCTGAAGAACCTGCAAAGATGGATCTCTAGCTTCTCATAGAAAACAGTGCATCATACCAGTAGGTGGAATTATGGTCATGAGTACCCAAATGTAGGAAATTTGAGAATTTAAAAAATTGTTTTCCAAATTTGGGAATGAAAGTGTGTTCCCAAAAATGGGTCGTTCCGTCTACTGATACAGCATGGGTCATTATCTGAATGGTTCCTTTCAGCAATAGTGTTCTCCAGGGCTCTGTTCTTGAACATTTTTTTCCTGCATTATTAATAAATGGGTTTCCATGAGTTCCAAGCCTAATGTAGAGGACCATCCAAAAACGTATCTTTAATCAAAAGTCTCTTTTTCATATGCATCTCATCAGTTCTCACAAATAGGTACTTGTTTATCACAGCCACTGGCTGGGAGGCATTGAAGATGGATCACTTTCCCATCTCCTTAAAACTTGCTTCATATCACAATAATGCATCACAATTTACACTTGCTAGTAGAATTAGGATTTAAGAACATGCTCCGGGGCTCGGATGTCCTAAAAAGGGGTTTGGGTTTGGTAGTCGTCAAGGTAGGTACCTAATTACAGTAAGGTTAAATCAATTTTTACAATAGTACATTAATAAGGACGCCGGTGAAAACAGGGCGCCGGAGGGCATATTAGTCACGTGACATTTACCTGCCATTTGGAACTTCTCCCCTCCGTGGGCCTTCTACATACTAAATGTCATGTGTGGATTTCACGAAGCTTGATCAAATCGCCCCAGGCGCCCTGCTTTCACCGTCGTCCATTAATAACCCCAAAAAATAAGCTGGATAACTCTAAAGGTCATCCGATATGTCTTTACAAAACCTTAAATACATACACTTTTCATTTATGACGCAACCGCGGCATTTGATGCGCAAAGAGATAGGGGCCCTAGCTCAACATTATTGTCAATTTAAAAGGCACAAGGCAGTATTTTGGTTAAATGGGATGAAAAATCGGTAATTCTATATAATCAAGTGAAATCAACAAATAATAAATAATGATAGTCACCGGCGCATACGTGTCAGCCCATGTACACAAAATCTTTCAAGGTCTGTCAATTACTTGTTTATCAAAAGCTTGTGAAGAATTTCAGCGTATTTGTTGGTATAATGACGTCATAAGAACTGACGCTTGTTGGTCACATTTTTACACCTTTTTAGGCGCAATTTCAAAAATTTAACCCGCGCCGTGCTGGTGGCCTGAACTTTCCGCCGAGTGCTGGGGGGGGGGGGGGGGGGCGTTTTCACGCCCCCCCCCGTCTAACTCGGCTCCTGGGCCACGTAGCGACACGCGGTAAGCGGCAATCGAAAGAGCGTCAAAAATAAGGACGAAAACACTTCGATCATTTTTTGGGTCAGGTCAAAGGTCAGGTCACCAGAGGTCACCAAAGGTAAAATGTTGACTATTTCAACATTTTGGAAACTGCCAACGGCTATCTCGGGAACCGATAGAGCTACAGCGCCGCGGAAAAGCGCATTCGATAGCCCTTTTACAGACCTTTCTGAGTAATGTCCTCAGATTTGACCTCAGGTCAACGGTTTAGCCTCCAGAGGGCAAAAACTCCAAAAATAGCCGTTTTTACGAAAAACGTTTTTTCGTCAATAACTTTTGACTCATAAGCGCCATGACATTACTTTTGCCAGCATCGTGTTTCTCTCGTCGAGACGCGTCGAATGAACTATTCGTTGACCTTGAAAGGTCATTTTGAAAATTTGACCTCAGGTCAAGGTCATGACCTGACCGAAAAGGGTCATGTTGCATATCAGTCGATCCGTATCGTCGAGCTGAACACATCTGACGTGTTTTCACCGCTCTAGCACGTCTCTATCAAAAGTTATAGCCAAAAAACTGCTGGCGACCGTTCATGACCTGAGATGACCTCAGGGGCACACAGAGGGGTCACAGGTGCATTTTTCCTATTCAGTGTGTCATGTTTACCTATGAACCGATGTTTGAGAGCGTTTTGAACGATATTCGTCCAAAAGAGGCGCATTTCAATTTTCTCCCATTGACTTATAATGGAGAGGTCGCAAAATTGACCTGACCTTAGGTCACAGATATCAAAAATCCGAGATATACATTTTATACATACTGTTACTCATATCAATCGCTGAAAGTTTCAAAGTGATCGTTCAGTCGGTGTAGCTATAGCGAGCCTTTGAACTTTTTCTGAGGTAAGGTCACTTGACGTGACCTGGTGACCTGACCTTGAACGGCCTAGGTCTGAAATTTTCACAACATGTGCGGAAATGATGTAGGAACACGTGTACCAAAAACGGCGGCGCTGCGCGCCGCCGTTTTTGAGATATTTGCGAAAAACCTGAGGGGGGGGGCGTAAAAACGCCCCCCCCCAGCACGGCGCGGGTTAAAGACCAAATTCAAAAAGTTTACATTTAGAATGCACGTGAACGTTTTGAATTTGGTCTAACTTTTTGAAATTGCGCCTAAAATGCTGTAGTGTCAACAGCCATCTCTTAACCCGCGCCCCGTAGGGCTACCGGCGGACCCTACCACCCGTAGGGGGGGGGGGGCGTTTCGGCCCCCCCTAAGATCTCGGAAAGTTACCGGCCGATTTTCAAAATTCAAACGGCGTTTGATAGCCCTACCCGGGAACTACCTTGTGACCAAATTTCATTGACCTAGGTCAAACCGATGACGTCACAGGTCAGGTCAAAGGTCAGATTTTCACCGTTCACAGGCAATTCAAGAAATGTGCTGTGAAATCGAGTAAATTGGTAATTTATTGAAAACCATCGATGGTATATTGTTCGCCAAACACATACTTTGCTATCTGAGGTCACTGATACCAGGTCAGGTCACAGCGAGGTCAGGTCACCGGGGGTCACAATATGAATGTGTCGTGTGATACATGTTTTATGGTCCATTTTACATGACAAATGCGATTATGTGGGTTAGGCAGCCTTTGGGGCCAGCCTAGGTCACGTTTTGGTGAAGGTCAGGTCAAGGTCAGGTCAAATTAGGTCAAATTTCAAAGTTGATATTTTTGCATAAAATGGGTATCCAGTCGATGCAGCTCGTCACGGGGAGTCTAATGGTGGTCTTTGTTTTGCTCTACGAGTTCTAGAATTGCCAAAAATTGAGTTTGAAAATTTGACGTCATCATTTTTGAACAGTTTTTTCGCTATAACTTGGCCAAAAAACGAGGTATCGATCTGAAATTTGGTATGTAGATAGAAGATGGTAGGTACTGTCACATATATTCCGGTTTTTTCGAAACTCAAAAAACTTTTTGGATTTTTTGGCTTATATATCCAAAAAAATGCTTTTTTGATTTTGGGGATCAAAACTCAAAAATTTCAAAAATCCGAGATAGCAGTTTTGTAGCTCTGTCGATTCTACACCTTTTATGTCTTGATCATTTTTCTGTATCTTCAAAGCTGTAGGCCTGACAGGTCTTCTCGCGAAGGTCTTTTTTCGGTCGAAAATGACAGAACATGACGTCACTCTGACGTCATTTGTGGCCAACTTATCACAGCCTCTGGAAAAATTTTTGGTCACAATGTGTAAAATTGATGCCCGGAGGGGTCCTGAAAGTTTGGTGGCGATATCTCCAGCCGTTTAGGAGATATCGACCGAAAAGGACAGGGGGGGCCGTTTCGCCCCCCCCCCCCTACGGGGCGCGGGTTGATCAAGCTTTCAAAGTTCAAACTGAATCATTCAGCCACGGTGACTATACAGCATCCAATTCGCCGTTTTCCTCGTAAGGAAAGAAAATGTGACCCTTGCCGGTCCTGTCGGCTGTCGACATCAGCCCCTGGCCAAGGGGGAACGTCACCCTTCTCGCCGTTTTTCGCCACTAGTTGAGCTAAAAGCTCGCGAAACATGAGCCGGTGTGCGCCGTTGCGAGACCTAGGCGTAGTCGCTGCGTCACGCAGCGATAGGCTTGTGTTTGACTGGCGGGTGTTTGATGAGCGTGCGTTCTTGGCTGATGTCGCAGGAGTTGACTGGCGCGCGCTGGTCAGACGTGATGCTTCCTGTGAGCAGCAGTGGGATGCTTTTGCTCATGCATTGACACGCTTATTAGATAGACATGCGCCCATCCGTAGGTTTAAGGTCCGTAACCCCGCTCCTCCAGCGGTCACAGAGGATACGCTGGACGTCATGCGGCAGCGCAGGGAGGCCTTGCGGTGCGCTGACGCTGACACCTATCAGCGTCTGAACGCGTTAGCTAAGCGTGCAATTAGGAAGGACCGGCGTGACGATATTACTGAGCGTGTGCGTGCTGCTCCTCCGTCGCGTCTGTTCAAGGAGCTGGAGTCTGTTATCGCTCCTAAGCGCGGCCCGTCAGTGTCCCCTGTTGATCTCACTGCCTCAGAGCTGAATGATTATTTTTGTTCTATCGGTAGAACTACTCGCGACACAGTGATGGCAGAGTTTGAGCGCTCAGATCGACACCCTCTTGATGTTCGGCTCCCACGCGTCCACACGGGAAGGCTGAACATCATCCCAGTGACGCTTGATCAACTTCACACCGTGCTCTTTAGCCTGCCTAACAAAGACCCGTGTGTACCGGGTGACGTGCCAGTCAAAATTTTAAAATCATGCTTTAACTACATCGGTCATCTTTTACTGCAAATTATTAACTGTAGCATAGTCACTGAGTCTGTCCCTTCCAGCTGGAAGTGCGCTGTTGTCATCCCTCTCCATAAGAGAGGCGAGCCCTCGCAGGCATCAAACTTCCGACCTATCACTAATGTACCCGTCATCTGTAAAATCGTAAAGAAGTTAGTACACCAGCAGATCTCCAACTACCTCGAACACTATTGTCTCTTTAGTCCCGATCAACATGGTTTTATGGCACGTCACTCAACTACCACGGCTCTTTTAGCTATGACCGATCACATACTCTCTGGCATGGACCATTCCGAAGTCACCCTTTTAACTCTGATTGACTTAAGCCGTTGCTTTGACGTTGTGGATCACGCCACCTTGCTGACCAGCCTGGAACAGCTCCAGATATCCACGGGCTGGATCAGCAGCTACCTGGCCGGACACACACAGCGGGTACGAGTGGGTGATAGACTTTCTGAGCCCCTGCCCATTAACATCGGCACCTTCCAGGGTTCATGCCTCGGCCCATTGTTGTTCAACATCGTGAGCAACAGCATCGGCTGTTACATTCCATCCAGCGTCAACGGCTTCCGCATCTTGGCCGTTCGCTATGCAGACGACACCCAGGTTGCGATAACTGGCCCTCGTAGCCGGCTTCCAGAACTGAAGCTTGCTCTGGAGAACGTGTTGGACACGCTGTGCACATGGTTTCTCCAGCACGGTATGATGGTCAATGCCAGCAAAACAGAGCTCCTCATGTGCGGTGACCGTCGCCAGCTGGCTCGGATCGACGAGCCTCCTCAGATCGAGTTTATGGGTCAGGTCCTTGTGCTATCGCGAACTGTCAAAAACCTTGGTGTGGTCATGGACCCCGAGCTCACCTGGGAAGCGCACATCAACACCATCATCAACCGCTGCTTCGGCATTCTTATCGGTCTCATGCACATCAGACACATTGTTCCACATTCTATTTTACCTCGGCTTGTCGACTCTCGTTTTGTCCCATGTGCGGTAGGGGAGAGCGGGGCCAGTTGAAACACGGGGTCAGATGAAACATGGCTTTATTTTCAACAGTATGCAACATATGGCGTTGCCGACACCACTGCGCATCCGCGCTCGACCACTTCCTTTGTCAACGGCGTTTGGGCGGCAAACGGACGGTAATTTTGATTTGACACTTGCTTTTGTGTTTTTGAGGGGCGTTTGAGAGAAATCGTTTTTATG